CACTGCACTCTCCTGGGGCTTCACGCATTCAATCATTTCCCTTTCATCCTTGCATTCGCACACTCTGTCTGCTTCTCCCTCCCCCTCTCTCACCCTTGAGAAATCTCAAAGCGACTCAGGTATATCTGGCTTCTGCTTGCTGCAATACAAAACCCTTTTTCAACTCCGCCACAGGTTACAGGGCAGCTGCTCCCGCACCTCACCTGCTGGGACGCCCTGCGCGCCGCCCACTTTCCCGTGTTGTCTCCTCTTCCCCTCTCCCTCTCCATCCCTCTCCACCCCTCTCCACCTCCCTCCACTCCTCTCCACCCACCCGCAGGTCACAGGGCAGCTGCTCCCGCAACTCACCTGCTGGGACGCCCTGCGTGCCGCGCTCCCTGTGGGCACCGTCAGCGGCGCGCCTAAGGTGAGTTCCTTCCTGGCACGGTACGGTCAGGATGCAGATGCACATGCACATGCCCATGCACATGCACATGCACATGCCCATGCACATGCACATGCACATGCACATGCACATGCCCATGCACATGCACATGCCCTCCCTGTCGGCACCGTCAGCGGCGCGCCTAAGGTGAGTCCTGACACGGAATGCTTCCTAGAAGTGCCTCATGAATCAACTCACAAGTCGTTCAGTAGTTTTGAGAATTCTCACAAGTTTGTGTCACTTTTGAGAATTCTCGGACGCGAGGTGATTCGCAATTCAGCATCGTAGAAATGCCTCTAGAATGAACACCCATTCCCCTTCCCCACATACATCTCGCTCCCTCTCCCCCTCTACAGGTGCGAGCCATGGAGCTAATCGATGAGTTGGAGGTGACTCGTCGGGGTCCCTACGCGGGGGGCATTGGGTACGTGTCGTTCGCAGGCAACATGGACTTTGCACTCGCCCTCCGCACCATGGTCTTCCCCACCTCCTCCGCCAGCCGCTCCGACACCCTCTTTGCATACAACAGCAGCAGTGGTACGAGCAGCAGCAGCAGTGGTAGTAACAGTGGCAGTGGCAGGGGGGGTGGGGCAGGGGCGGGGTTGAAGCGGCGGCAGGAGTGGGTGGTGCATGTGCAGGCGGGGGCGGGCGTGGTGGCGGACAGTGTGCCGGCAGCGGAGTGGCAGGAGACGGTCAACAAGGCTGCTGCTCTCGGCCGCGCCATCGACCTCGCTGAGTCCGCCTTTGTGCACGCTGACAGGGAGTAGGGGGCAGCAGCAGTAGCAGGGGTAGCAGGAACGGGAGTAGCAGCAGCAGTGGTGGCAGTGGGAGGGGCGGTGGGGCAGGGATGGGGCTGAGGAGGCGGCAGGAGTGGGTGGTGCATGTGCAGGCGAGGCCGGGCGTGGTGGCGGACAGTGTGCCGGCAGCGGAGTAGCAGGAGACGGTCAACAAGGCTGCTGCTCTTGGCCGCGCCATCGACCTCGCTGAGTCTGCGTTCGTGCTCGCTGACAGGGAGTAGGGGGTAGTAGCAGCAGAGTGAGTAGCAGAGGTAACGGCAGTTGCAATAGTGTGTTCATGTGTAGGCCTTAAATGTGGTAGTTTTTTTTAGGTCATCACCAGAGCATGAAACATTGTTCCTAACAAACTCGGTAACATAAGAATGATAATTGAAAGAAGCCAATTGACATCCAGCATTCTTGAACACAGCCCATTGTATCTGGTGGTGTCAATGGTAAGAAAATTGTACCTGTTAGGGATTCCAATTTCCAACCATTCCAAGCAACCATAATGATCACAGAAATGTATGGTAAAAATCTGCTTCATGCCTGCACCCAGGTACTGGTACCTGAAAAAACACTATGTACACTAGCAGGCATAATCAACATCGGCTAAATGAACAAATCAAGATCCCCCAACCCAACCACATCTCTGACTGACTACCTGCTGTGCAAACACCACAAGGGCATCGTTTGACAAAACAGTTCGGCAATGACATCCAATGATGCTTCGTGCAGGTCAGCAGAGAGCGAATGTGCCAGATGTGTACCCGGAAGAGCACAGCTGCTGTGGCTGGAGGTGCGGATTCAGAGGTGCCTCAGAAATCGCTCTGTGCAGATTAGCAGAGAGCGAATGTGCCAGACGTGTACCCAGATGAGCTCAGCTGCTGTGGCTGGAGCTCCAGCTTTTGAAATGGGCTGCAGGGGAGGTGCCAAGGCGATGTGATGAGAGCAGGAAGAAAGGGAAAGAGAAGGAGAGCGAGGCTGAAGCATCCATTCTGTCACATCACATCCAATTCTTACTAAGAACCTCAAACCTTGTAAGCCATCTCAACTCAACATCTTCTGTGGAAGAGGCACACAACTCAAGCCAGTAATTCAAGGCGAAGGACGATTCAAACCAATTCACCGCAGTTACCCCATTCGAATCACCTGTTGCTGGGACCGTAGTAGTAGCCTGTGACACTCCCGTCCTCCCGATTGAACCACACCGAGTAAAAGCCTTTTGAGCCAACTCAAAATCCAAACCCTTTAGTCACCTGCTGCTGGGGTCGTAGTAGTAGCCTGTGACACTCCCGTCCTCCCGATTGAAGCACACATAGTAGAAGCCCGCTATTGTGAGCCCACACCACAATCTGGTCATCCGATTTAGTCACATTCACTGCAGGCGCCCTAGACAGTGACACCCCTCACCTCCCTCTCCCCGTCCCCCTCCTCTCCTCACCCCTCCCTCCCAGAATCACCTGCTGCTGGGATCGTAGTAGTAGCCTGTGACACTCCCGTCCTCCCGATTGAAGCACACATAGTAGAAGCCTGCTATGGTGAGCCCACAGTCCGGGCCCACGTTCACAAAGAACTTCTCCTTCCACCGCTGTGGCGAGCACACAGGAAGCAGTGAAGTGGGAGGGGTGTGAAAGAGATGGAGGCATGTTCACAAGAAATTCTCCTTCCACCGCTGTGCATGGGACGCAATGAAAGGGGAGGGGAGTGAAAGAGATGGAGCAACCTTCACACATAACTTCTCCTACCACCGCAGTAGTGAGCACACAGGGAGGTGGAGGGAGACGTGTGGCTGGGGAGAATGGGAGCGGACGTGAGGTTGGGGGAGGGGAAAGGAGGGAATTAACGACATCGAAGAGAAGCGGAGGGCGGGATGAATACAGCGGAGAGACGGAGCACTGCTGTCCGATAGATCATGGCGAGAACGAGTCAGGTGAAGAACTGATGCAAATGACACATCGCGGAAGGTGGGTGATGAGAATTGGTTTCACGCATACCATGAAGATGTAGGGCAATGTTGACAGATCTGCGTGAAACGAGACAGAAGCTTTTGGGTCGACTCAAAACATGACCCGTGACCCAAGCTGATGAAATTAGGTTTCATGCTTACCATGAAGATGTAGGGGAATGTTGACAGATCTATGGATCGAGCTCCGTCCTTGAGTGCTGCCTCCTGCCACGTAAGAGCACCAGCAGTGCTTTTAGATTACTATGACTGAAGTGACAACACGACAGCATGTTTGGACTCTGTCTTCCATATCCCAAACTGCCTGTACCAATACCCGCATACATACAAAGGACCATTTGGATGGTTGGCGTCATAGATGTGAGGTGTTCAAACCAGGTGCTGTTTTGCTGATAGTAGTGGTCAACTGAGCTGAGCCAAGCAAAAAGGTTTCAGCTCCAACAAATCACAATCACGCCCCCCATCCCCTTCCACCTCCCCCTCCTAAAAAAAAGCAACATTGAAACTTTAACAAAGGCAGGGAGGGAGTATCACACCTTGAGCTGCGCAAAGCATGGAAAGCGAGACCAGTGTTTGATGTCAGTTTCACGACTGGCAGAAGGGAACATGATATTAAGAGGGAGACGAAGCGAATGATATCAGTGCCTGCTTATTACGACAATTCGATCAACGTCCGATGCTAACAATGCTGCTCACGTCAGCTGCGGGCATGCTGACTTCCAAAGTTTTGTGGAAGAAAACCAAGTTCCGCTGGGTCGATAGTATTGAAGGGAGGGAGTTTTGAGTCGACTCAAAACTCGACTCACTACATGCGGACTTCCAAAGTTTTGTGGAGGAAAACCAAGTTCCGCTGGGTCGATACTATTGAAGGGAAGGTGGTCAAAGAACCACCGTGACATCTCATCAGCATGTTGTCAACATGTCATCATCAGCATGTCCTGAGCATGTCATCAGCGTCTTAGTACCATCCCAACACCAACCGGTAACAGCAGTTGGCAGCACTCACGTGGCATCCCACTGGCTAGTGAAGAAGGAGTAGATCTTGCTGTCCACAATCTCTCCGTCTCAAACCGAGGTGACTTTCGAGTCGACTCAAAAGTAAACATAAAAGACTACTCAAAAGTCACCTTTTGAGTCGAATCAGAAGCACTCACGTGGCGTCCCATTGGCCGGTGAAGAAGGAGTAGTTCTTGCCGTCCACAATTTCCCCGTCCCAAAAGGTAACCACCTGCACCCAGAGAGTGGTGGGTGTTGGTGGCTCTAGGTTTAGTGATTTTCAAGATGCACACGTAGGTGTACTACGTACAATACAGCACACCAATCTTTGTCCCAAACGCCAACAATTCCCTCTACCCCCGCTCCCTTCCCCTCCCTCCCACCCCATTGAGTTATAGATTTTCTTAAAGCTCAAGGCCCAAATTGTTCAGGATTACTAAAGTTGACCCTTGGGTGGTGGGAAAGCAGAGTAGGAAAGTCGAGGTGTTTGAGGGGTGTAGGGGTTTGGTTTCGCCCAGCTTCTCGCCACACTCAAAACAAAATTCGCTGACTCAGCAAAGCCTAGGGGACGCTCAGGTTTGGTTGCGCGAGTCCCATATTGCACAAATATTACTCTTGCCAGTTTCCCGCACCACCTGTTCCATTCGCTGACTCAAATGTTCTGGCCAATCAGATGGCTTCGTACATTTCGTAACCACAATTCGCCCAGCTAAAGCTGCAAAGCAGCACTCGATCAACCTTACTAAACTTGCCTCGCGCGGCCCGCAATTTGGGCCTTGAGCTTTAAACAACCCTGATTGGAAGCACAAATCTGCTGCGACCGTTAACTCATTTCGCCTCAAGCCACGTCACGTCCCCTCACCGAGGTGTCAGTGGAAGGAACGTTAAGAGCCTCCATGGATCCGCACAAGTACCCTCTCCGCATGTCGCACTGTTGGATGCGCACCGTCACCCGCCAAGCCTCATCCCGCTCCATGCCTGATAACGGCGGAGAAGAGTCGCCCGGGGAAGATGAGGACGACACGTTCTGCGTCCCCACAAACGCCTGGATGTGTAGTGGAACGGAAGGAAAGGGGACGCGCGGGGCAACGAAGAGTGAGGGATGCTGCGGTGGGACAATGTTGGAGGGAGCTTACACAAGTTGATTATTTCGAGGCGGGTCATGGTGGGTGGATTGCTGGTAGCCGGAGAAAAAGGAAAGGAAGTTTCGAAAAGCGGGTTGCACGACAACGATACATTAATCGCGGGTAGCTGCAGGGAGCTGAACATAGAACGAAATACGACGCACCTGTCCTGGTTCTAAGAATGAACAAGTTGAACTAAATGGAGAATCCTCGTCGTCCACACCCTCGTACTGTTCTTCCCAAGCCTCTATATCCTCATCCCCTAACTCTCGCTCGTTTATTGTCGCTGGACACGGGTTCGGGTCGCACACAGGTAGCTGTGCCTGTTCCTCCGAGTCCCGTGGAACGCGCGAGGGACTACCCATTTCCTCGCCAAACGCCATGAAACACAAACCATCTGCCAATTGCCACTAGTGTCGATGCTTTGGCACAAAAGCTCTTGTTGCATTATGGTTTCGATTCATATACGCGCTTTTGTCTGTACTGGTATGTGCAAAACGTGTAACGAGTGATACTGAAATTAGCTAACACATACCGTACTACATACACACAACAACTAATCAAGGTACCGTACATTGAAACACAAATTTGAAAATAGGTAACTGGCTGCTTGTTATTTTCACTGGGCTCGAGTTCTTCCGGTTGAGAATCACAGACGGTCAATTGTAATCCCGTTGGTGGGCCTGTGAAGCTTCAACAATTCCTGTGACTCTGCAAGGTACAAAGCCAAGTTTAGGCACTGTTTCAAAATAAGGCACGCACAGTACCTCTGGCGAGCCTCCAGCTGCCCAACGTAGTTTACTCTAACATTTCAACAATCCTCTCCAGGATGGCTTCACTAAGGAAGCAGTATAAGCTACCCTTTGTCCTCTAACCTGAAACCTTGAGCACAGCTGCAGCATCTGTCGATGAAAGCCTTTTGCTGCAATATCCCTCCCATGGTTCGGATGTCTCCTGGCTCTCCGCAGCAGCATCTTCCATAGCAACATATAAGGAATGAAGGTACACTGCAAGCTTCCGAGCTGCTTCCCGTCCCTCTGGGGCCTGGTCCTTCATCTGAGTTGCGGCAATCTTTAGAAGCACATCCAGTCCAATAACCTTGACCTGATCCGTATTCTGTAACACATGGACAACAGGATGTAAGACTCGAACAGGTAGGAAAGAAAGGGAGAGCAGGCATGGAGCACGGGAACTGTCTCACCAGACGCACTGCCGCTTGGTAGGCGTAAATCATAGCCTTTGACCGGACTCTCGGACTCTTATGAGCGATGCACGGGTGGACTGCTTTAAAGGTGACTTCCGGATTGAGAGTTGATGTCATTGTGGAAAGAGCACGGTCGACGGCTTCAACCATGAACTTATTATCTTGCGAAGCTTGAATAAGCAACGGTTGCATCTGCAAAGCAAATGTCGTCAAACATGAAACCCCTGGTGAAAAAAAAAGGACGATGGCTACTCTGTGAATAACATACCAAGGATTCAAGCGACCCTTCCATGCACGTCGTGTTGAATCTAAACAGGTCCTCAAAAGTCATCCATAAAGTCTTTCTGAGAACACTTCTGGGATTCTTCAGAGACTTCAACATTGAATCATAATAGGATTCACTGCAGACGCCAGCATATGTCAAATGGGTTAGGCTTCCGCGACGTTTCAGGCAAGTTAAAAATCACTAAAAGAACGAAAAAGGGATAAGATTTTCCAACCACATACAGTCGTTCGTTAAGGCGTTCGCTGTTGAACTTCGCAACCCTCCGGAGTTCGATAAGCCCCTCGCAAACCACGATCCAGTCTTTCGAATCAAGCTTCGCCCCAAGACCCTGCAAGCGAGAAAAACATCACCAATCAATCTTCGCATTTGCAACTGATCCCAATGCTGGCGACGTGCTAGCTAACTTACGGAAAGGACGCTCTCCAAATCTTCAACAGGCTGAAGTTCCTCAGTTGGAACATACTGAACCTCGACGGTTGCAACAACCTCTTCAGCCATAGCCCTAGGTAAAGAAAATAATTATCTGCGCGGTGTTAGGGCGAGAAGATACTTGACCCGAGGGAGTGAAAGTACGGGATTTCACAGTGGCTGATCGTGTATGATGCAGTATTGTGGGTTTGTTGCTGTCTGCAAATAGCTTTGTCTTCCTGAATCGCATACACAAACACCGCCCTGCGAGCTTTGCTCACTTGGATGGATGACACACCCCCTGACAAACAACAGTTCCGTCCCCCAGGAAGCTCCGCTCCCCTTCGTTCATCATCTATTGTGGTGATGGGAGGCGAATCACCGTTCGATTGGCAGGCGGCTCGACTCTCTGACATACCTACGTCGCTGTCAGATTCGATACTACCAATGAGACTTTTTCAATTTGTTACTTACAGATTGCACTAGGCACAGTCTTTTCATTACTACCACGTCAGCTAGATTATCTCACTAAACAGAACCAGGTCCCCAAAACTTACTTAGTGTCAAAATCAAAAGCCTGAATGTTTTCCTTCTTGTTATTCGAATGATTGGTAACAAGTGCGATCATCATTTGCCATTAAAAAGCTTCATATAATGAGATGCCTTTGATTTGCATAGATTTTTGTCCGTTTTGCCCACACACCATCACTCCGCCACCAATCAATCAACCATCTGCATTTGCAACTGCAACCGCCGGCTCACTTGAATTTAGTGCACTGCCATCAATATCACCATTCCCCACACCACTAGGCTGACTTGGGATGCCCCCGTTTGCCATCTGTTTCTTCCGGCGCTGCACTTCCAGGAAAATGAGCAGAGCCGTGATGTCAGCAGGGTTGACTCCGCCCAGTCTAGATGCTTGCCCAATGGTGGCTGGCCGGATCTGCAGCAAGACAGCAGGTGGGAGTCAAAAAATGAGGGGGAATAAGAGAACATGAGTACACGTGTGTGATCATGTGCACACAAATTCCCGCAGGTGCGCGTGTGCTCCGAGCCCCATCTGTGCGTGCTCTTCCTGGCACATTACCAGAGATTGTGGGGAACGGACGGGGACAAGCCAGCATGAAGTATGATACAAGGCAGTGCACGTGCATGCACTGGTAGCATCATGACAACATGCACTGGTTACATCACTAGAATAGGGGGGGTGGAATCAGAAGAAAGAAAGCACGAAAGGCGAAAGATAGTCATGGCAAGCATGTACCTTGGAGAGCTTTTCACGGGCCTCCTTGGAGACGGTGGCAATCGAATCGAAGTCAATGTCCTCGGGAATGCGGCGGTGCTCCTTGGCGATCACCTGCTCCAGCTGCTGCTTCTGCCTCTGAATGAACCCCTCGTACTTCAACTCCACCTCCACACACTCCGCCTCCCATGCCGACACCACCGCCCCTCCCTCCCCCCACTCCCCCACCGCCTCCGAACCACCTTCCGAACCACCTTCCGCACCACTTTCTGAATCACTTTCTGCTTCCGAGCCAGAGGCAGAGCCGGAGGAGGAGGAGAGGGGAGAAGGGGCGCCCATGAGGCTGTGGTCTCTAAAGAGGCGGTAGGTGACGTGCGGGCGGCGGAGGATTTGATCCAGCGTTGTGCCGTGCCGCACTGCGCCTGACAGCTCCTCTATTGCTGGGATAGCCGGGTGTGAGGCTGGGAGGGTTGGGGGATGCACGGGGAAACAACGCACAGGGACGCTTTTCTAGCCGATGCAAAACACAGCTGAGTCAACAAGTAAGAGTACTTTAAGCAAAAGCACTTCAGCACAGGGACGCTTTTCTAGCCGATGCAAGAGCCATCTGGTACTTTTTCTTTTAGAATAACGAGACGCATCAGAGCCCTTCCTACCTCTTACCCACCTGCCAGCTTGTATCGCTTGAGCCTCTCTTTCTCAGCGTCCATCCTCGCCTGCCTCGCTACAAACACGCCAGAGCACCACATGCATTTTCTGATATAATACACGTGCGATTTCTGATCCAAAGCCCCAACGCCAGCCCTACCTGCCAGCTTGTATCGCTTGAGCCTCTCTTTCTCAGCGTCCATCCTCGCCTGCCTCGCTACAAACACGCCAGAGCACCACATGCATTTTCTGATATAATGCACGTGCGATTTCTGATCCAAAGCCCCCACGCCAGCCCTACCTGCCAGCTTGTACCGCTTGAGCCTCTCCTTCTCAGCGTCCATCCTCGCCTGCTTCGCCACATACACGCCCCACCGACACATGCTCATCTGATCAGATACACTCGTGATCTGTGCCCCCATGCCCCAACGCCAACCCCACCTGCCAGCTTGTATCGCTTGAGCCTCTCCTTCTCAGCGTCCATCCTCGCCTGCCTCGCCACATACATGCCCCACCGGCGGTCGTCAATTAGCCCGATCTCGCGCCCCATGGGGGTCAGCCGTACATCTGCATTGTCTGACCGCAGCAGCAGCCGGAACTCCGATCGGCTGCCGGGGAAGCGAGAGGTGGGGGGGGGGTGGGGCAAGGGAGGAGAGGGATGAGTCGAATCAAACATGCCCCACCGGCGGTCGTCAATGAGCCCTATCTCGCGCCCCATGGGTGTGAGCCGTACGTCAGCATTGTCTGATCGCAGCAACAGCCGGAACTCTGAACGGCTGCAGGGGAAGCAAGAGGTAGTGGGGGGGGGGATGGGGCAAGGGAGGAGAGGGATGAGTCGACTCATACATGCCCCACCGGCGGTCGTCAATGAGCCCTATCTCGCGCCCCATGGGTGTGAGCCGTACGTCAGCATTGTCTGATCGCAGCAACAGCCGGAACTCTGAACGGCTGCAGGGGAAGCAAGAGGTAGTGGGGGGGGGGATGGGGCAAGGGAGGAGAGGGATGAGTCGACTCATACATGCCCCACCGGCGGTCGTCAATGAGCCCTATCTCGCGCCCCATGGGAGTGAGCCGTACGTCAGCATTGTCTGATCGCAGCAACAGCCGGAACTCTGAACGGCTGCAGGGGAAGCAAGAGGTAGTGGGGGGGGGGATGGGGCAAGGGAGGAGAGGGATGAGTCGACTCATACATGCCCCACCGGCGGTCGTCAATGAGCCCTATCTCGCCCCCCATGGGTGTGAGCCGTACGTCAGCATTGTCTGATCGCAGCAACAGCCGGAACTCTGAACGGCTGCAGGGGAAGCAAGAGGTAGTGGGGGGGGGGATGGGGCAAGGGAGGAGAGGGATGAGTCGACTCATACATGCCCCACCGGCGGTCGTCAATGAGCCCTATCTCGCGCCCCATGGGAGTGAGCCGTACGTCAGCATTGTCTGATCACAGCAACAGCCGGAACTCTGAACGGCTGCAGGGGAAGCAAGAGGTAGTGGGGGGGGGGATGGGGCAAGGGAGGAGAGGGATGAGTCGACTCAAACATGCCCCACCGGCGGTCGTCAATGAGCCCTATCTCGCGCCCCATGGGTGTGAGCCGTACGTCAGCATTGTCTGATCGCAGCAACAGCCGGAACTCTGAACGGCTGCAGGGGAAGCAAGAGGTAGTGGGGGGGGGGATGGGGCAAGGGAGGAGAGGGATGAGTCGACTCATACATGCCCCACCGGCGGTCGTCAATGAGCCCTATCTCGCGCCCCATGGGAGTGAGCCGTACGTCAGCATTGTCTGATCGCAGCAACAGCCGGAACTCTGAACGGCTGCAGGGGAAGCAAGAGGTAGTAGGGGGGGGGGATGGGGCAAGGGAGAAGAGAGATGAGTTGATTCAAACATGCCCCACCGCCGGTCGTCAATGAGCCCGATCTCCCGCCCCATGGGAGTCAGCCGTACATCCGCATTATCGGACCGCAGCAGCAGACGGAACTCCGAACGGCTGGAGGGGAGGGCAAAGGCATAGGGATGGGTGGGAAAGCAGGGTAGAAGGGCGATGAAGGAGAAGAGGAGCTGAATTCACCCGGCGGTCGTCAATGAGCCCGATCTCGCGCCCCATGGGAGTCAGCCGTGCATCAGCATTGTCTGATCGCAGCAGCAACCGGAACTCCTAGCGGCTGCAGCGGAGGGGGAGAGGAAGGGCGAAACTTGGGCCAGCATCAAGTAGCAAACAGTCAATGAGCCCTATCGCGCGCCCCATGGGTGTCAGCCGTGCATCTGCATTGTCTGATCGCAGCAGCAACCGGAACTCCCAGCGGCTGCAGGGGAGGGGAGGGGATGAAGGGCGAACCTTGGGCCACCATTAATCAGCAAACAGTCAATGAATCCGATCTCCCGCCCCATGGGAGTCAGCCGTGCATCAGCATTGTCCGACCGCGGCAGCAACTGGAACTCCCAGCGGCTGCAGCGGAGGGGGAGAGGAAGGGCGAAACTTGGGCCAGCATCAAGTAGCAAACAGTCAATCAGCCCTATCTCGCGCTGGGCCCCATGGGTGTCAGCCGTGCATCTGCATTGTCTGATCGCAGCACCAGCCAGAACTCTGAACGGCTGCAAAAGAAGCAAGAAGAGGGCACGGAATGGGGAGGAAACAAGAGACAAGTGAGGAGAAAGATGGGTTGATGCCCCCACTGACAATGAATCCGATCTCCCGCCCCATGGGTGTCAGCCGTGCATCTGCATTGTCCGGCCGCAGCAGCAGCCGGAACTCCTAGCGGCTGCAGAGCATGGGGAGAAAGAAGCATGGGGCGAAGACACGGTTAAGGTGCGATGAAGGGGAAGAGACGAGCTGATTCCCCACCGCCGGTCGTCAATCAGTCCGCGTTTTCCGGCCGCAGCAGCAGCCGGAACTCCTAGCGGCTGAAGAGCATGGGGAGAAAGAAGCATGGGCGGAAGACAGTGTTAAGGGGCGATGAAGGGGAATAGCGGAGCTGATTCCCCACCGCCGGTCGTCAATCAGTCCGCGTTTTCCGGCCGCAGCAGCAGCCGGAACTACCAGCGGCTGAAGAGCACGGGGAGAAAGAAGAAAGGGGCGAAGACACGGTTAAGGGGCGATGAAGGGGAAGAGACGAGCTGATTCCCCACCGCCGGTCGTCAATCAGTCCGCGCTTTCCGACCGCAGCAGCAGCCGGAACTCGGAGCGGCGGCAAGCATGCGAGAGAAGAGGCACGGGGGCGAAAGAGGCGAGGCATCGGACAAGGGAGGAGCATGCGGTTGCCTGTCTGCTTCCACTCTCCGCTACCTGGTAGTCAGGTCAGCATGCGGACTGGCTCCCTCATTTGAGGCGCCTCAAAAGTTGGCCCAGGGGCGAGAGAGGCGAGACATCGGGCAAGGGAGGAGCATGCGGTTGCCTGTCTGCTTCCACTCTCCGCTACCTGGTAGTCAGGTCAGCATGCGGACTGGCTCCCTCATGTGAGGCGCCTCAAAAGTCGGCCCAGGGGCGAGAGAGGCGAGACATCGGGCAAGGGAGGAGCATGCGGTTGCCTGTCTGCTTCCACTCTCCGCTACCTGGTAGTCAGGTCAGCATGCGGACTGGCTCCCTCATTTGAGGCGCCTCAAAAGTCGGCCCAGGGGCGAGAGAGGCGAGACATCGGGCAAGGGAGGAGCATGCGGTTGCCTGTCTGCTTCCACTCTCCGCTACCTGGTAGTCAGGTCAGCATGCGGACTGGCTCCCTCATTTGAGGCGCCTCAAAAGTCGGCCCAGGGGCGAGAGAGGCGAGACATCGGGCAAGGGAGGAGCATGCGGTTGCCTGGCTGCTTCCACTCTCCGCTACCTGGTAGTCAGGTCAGCATGCGGACTGGCTCCCTCATTTGAGGCGCCTCAAAAGTCGGCCCAGGGGCGAGAGAGGCGAGACATCGGGCAAGGGAGGAGCATGCGGTTGCATGTCTGCTTCCACTCTCCGCTACCTGGTAGTCAGGTCAGCATGCGGACTGGCTCCCTCATTTGAGGCGCCTCAAAAGTCGGCCCAGGGGCGAGAGAGGCGAGACATCGGGCAAGGGAGGAGCATGCGGTTGCCTGTCTGCTTCCACTCTCCGCTACCTGGTAGTCAGGTCAGCATGCGGACTGGCTCCCTCATTTGAGGCGCCTCAAAAGTCGGCCCAGGGGCGAGAGAGGCGAGACATCGGGCAAGGGAGGAGCATGCGGTTGCCTGTCTGCTTCCACTCTCCGCTACCTGGTAGTCAGGTCAGCATGCGGACTGGCTCCCTCATTTGAGGCGCCTCAAAAGTCGGCCCAGGGGCGAGAGAGGCGAGACATCGGGCAAGGGAGGAGCATGCGGTTGCCTGTCTGCTTCCACTCTCCGCTACCTGGTAGTCAGGTCAGCATGCGGACTGGCTCCCTCATTTGAGGCGCCTCAAAAGTCGGCCCAGGGGCGAGAGAGGCGAGACATCGGGCAAGGGAGGAGCATGCGGTTGCATGTCTGCTTCCACTCTCCGCTACCTGGTAGTCAGGTCAGCATGCGGACTGGCTCCCTCATTTGAGGCGCCTCAAAAGTCGGCCCAGGGGCGAGAGAGGCGAGACATCGGGCAAGGGAGGAGCATGCGGTTGCCTGTCTGCTTCCACTCTCCGCTACCTGGTAGTCAGGTCAGCATGCGGACTGGCTCCCTCATTTGAGGCGCCTCAAAAGTTGGCCCAGGGGCGAGAGAGGCGAGACATCGGGCAAGGGAGGAGCATGCGGTTGCCTGTCTGCTTCCACTCTCCGCTACCTGGTAGTCAGGTCAGCATGCGGACTGGCTCCCTCATGTGAGGCGCCTCAAAAGTCGGCCCAGGGGCGAGAGAGGCGAGACATCGGGCAAGGGAGGAGCATGCGGTTGCCTGTCTGCTTCCACTCTCCGCTACCTGGTAGTCAGGTCAGCATGCGGACTGGCTCCCTCATTTGAGGCGCCTCAAAAGTCGGCCCAGGGGCGAGAGAGGCGAGACATCGGGCAAGGGAGGAGCATGCGGTTGCCTGTCTGCTTCCACTCTCCGCTACCTGGTAGTCAGGTCAGCATGCGGACTGGCTCCCTCATTTGAGGCGCCTCAAAAGTCGGCCCAGGGGCGAGAGAGGCGAGACATCGGGCAAGGGAGGAGCATGCGGTTGCCTGGCTGCTTCCACTCTCCGCTACCTGGTAGTCAGGTCAGCATGCGGACTGGCTCCCTCATTTGAGGCGCCTCAAAAGTCGGCCCAGGGGCGAGAGAGGCGAGACATCGGGCAAGGGAGGAGCATGCGGTTGCCTGTCTGCTTCCACTCTCCGCTACCTGGTAGTCAGGTCAGCATGCGGACTGGCTCCCTCATTTGAGGCGCCTCAAAAGTCGGCCCAGGGGCGAGAGAGGCGAGACATCGGGCAAGGGAGGAGCATGCGGTTGCCTGGCTGCTTCCACTCTCCGCTACCTGGTAGTCAGGTCAGCATGCGGACTGGCTCCCTCATTTGAGGCGCCTCAAAAGTCGGCCCAGGGGCGAGAGAGGCGAGACATCGGGCAAGGGAGGAGCATGCGGTTGCATGTCTGCTTCCACTCTCCGCTACCTGGTAGTCAGGTCAGCATGCGGACTGGCTCCCTCATTTGAGGCGCCTCAAAAGTCGGCCCAGGGGCGAGAGAGGCGAGACATCGGGCAAGGGAGGAGCATGCGGTTGCCTGTCTGCTTCCACTCTCCGCTACCTGGTAGTCAGGTCAGCATGCGGACTGGCTCCCTCATTTGAGGCGCCTCAAAAGTCGGCCCAGGGGCGAGAGAGGCGAGACATCGGGCAAGGGAGGAGCATGCGGTTGCCTGGCTGCTTCCACTCTCCGCTACCTGGTAGTCAGGTCAGCATGCGGACTGGCTCCCTCATTTGAGGCGCCTCAAAAGTCGGCCCAGGGGCGAGAGAGGCGAGACATCGGGCAAGGGAGGAGCATGCGGTTGCATGTCTGCTTCCACTCTCCGCTACCTGGTAGTCAGGTCAGCATGCGGACTGGCTCCCTCATTTGAGGCGCCTCAAAAGTCGGCCCAGGGGCGAGAGAGGCGAGACATCGGGCAAGGGAGGAGCATGCGGTTGCCTGTCTGCTTCCACTCTCCGCTACCTGGTAGTCAGGTCAGCATGCGGACTGGCTCCCTCATTTGAGGCGCCTCAAAAGTCGGCCCAGGGGCGAGAGAGGCGAGACATCGGGCAAGGGAGGAGCATGCGGTTGCCTGTCTGCTTCCACTCTCCGCTACCTGGTAGTCAGGTCAGCATGCGGACTGGCTCCCTCATTTGAGGCGCCTCAAAAGTCGGCCCAGGGGCGAGAGAGGCGAGACATCGGGCAAGGGAGGAGCATGCGGTTGCCTGTCTGCTTCCACTCTCCGCTACCTGGTAGTCAGGTCAGCATGCGGACTGGCTCCCTCATTTGAGGCGCCTCAAAAGTCGGCCCAGGGGCGAGAGAGGCGAGACATCGGGCAAGGGAGGAGCATGCGGTTGCATGTCTGCTTCCACTCTCCGCTACCTGGTAGTCAGGTCAGCATGCGGACTGGCTCCCTCATTTGAGGCGCCTCAAAAGTCGGCCCAGGGGCGAGAGAGGCGAGACATCGGGCAAGGGAGGAGCATGCGGTTGCCTGTCTGCTTCCACTCTCCGCTACCTGGTAGTCAGGTCAGCATGCGGACTGGCTCCCTCATTTGAGGCGCCTCAAAAGTTGGCCCAGGGGCGAGAGAGGCGAGACATCGGGCAAGGGAGGAGCATGCGGTTGCCTGTCTGCTTCCACTCTCCGCTACCTGGTAGTCAGGTCAGCATGCGGACTGGCTCCCTCATGTGAGGCGCCTCAAAAGTCGGCCCAGGGGCGAGAGAGGCGAGACATCGGGCAAGGGAGGAGCATGCGGTTGCCTGTCTGCTTCCACTCTCCGCTACCTGGTAGTCAGGTCAGCATGCGGACTGGCTCCCTCATTTGAGGCGCCTCAAAAGTCGGCCCAGGGGCGAGAGAGGCGAGACATCGGGCAAGGGAGGAGCATGCGGTTGCCTGTCTGCTTCCACTCTCCGCTACCTGGTAGTCAGGTCAGCATGCGGACTGGCTCCCTCATTTGAGGCGCCTCAAAAGTCGGCCCAGGGGCGAGAGAGGCGAGACATCGGGCAAGGGAGGAGCATGCGGTTGCCTGGCTGCTTCCACTCTCCGCTACCTGGTAGTCAGGTCAGCATGCGGACTGGCTCCCTCATTTGAGGCGCCTCAAAAGTCGGCCCAGGGGCGAGAGAGGCGAGACATCGGGCAAGGGAGGAGCATGCGGTTGCCTGTCTGCTTCCACTCTCCGCTACCTGGTAGTCAGGTCAGCATGCGGACTGGCTCCCTCATTTGAGGCGCCTCAAAAGTCGGCCCAGGGGCGAGAGAGGCGAGACATCGGGCAAGGGAGGAGCATGCGGTTGCCTGGCTGCTTCCACTCTCCGCTACCTGGTAGTCAGGTCAGCATGCGGACTGGCTCCCTCATTTGAGGCGCCTCAAAAGTCGGCCCAGGGGCGAGAGAGGCGAGACATCGGGCAAGGGAGGAGCATGCGGTTGCATGTCTGCTTCCACTCTCCGCTACCTGGTAGTCAGGTCAGCATGCGGACTGGCTCCCTCATTTGAGGCGCCTCAAAAGTCGGCCCAGGGGCGAGAGAGGCGAGACATCGGGCAAGGGAGGAGCATGCGGTTGCCTGTCTGCTTCCACTCTCCGCTACCTGGTAGTCAGGTCAGCATGCGGACTGGCTCCCTCATTTGAGGCGCCTCAAAAGTCGGCCCAGGGGCGAGAGAGGCGAGACATCGGGCAAGGGAGGAGCATGCGGTTGCCTGGCTGCTTCCACTCTCCGCTACCTGGTAGTCAGGTCAGCATGCGGACTGGCTCCCTCATTTGAGGCGCCTCAAAAGTCGGCCCAGGGGCGAGAGAGGCGAGACATCGGGCAAGGGAGGAGCATGCGGTTGCATGTCTGCTTCCACTCTCCGCTACCTGGTAGTCAGGTCAGCATGCGGACTGGCTCCCTCATTTGAGGCGCCTCAAAAGTCGGCCCAGGGGCGAGAGAGGCGAGACATCGGGCAAGGGAGGAGCATGCGGTTGCCTGTCTGCTTCCACTCTCCGCTACCTGGTAGTCAGGTCAGCATGCGGACTGGCTCCCTCATTTGAGGCGCCTCAAAAGTCGGCCCAGGGGCGAGAGAGGCGAGACATCGGGCAAGGGAGGAGCATGCGGTTGCCTGTCTGCTTCCACTCTCCGCTACCTGGTAGTCAGGTCAGCATGCGGACTGGCTCCCTCATTTGAGGCGCCTCAAAAGTCGGCCCAGGGGCGAGAGAGGCGAGACATCGGGCAAGGGAGGAGCATGCGGTTGCCTGTCTGCTTCCACTCTCCGCTACCTGGTAGTCAGGTCAGCATGCGGACTGGCTCCCTCATTTGAGGCGCCTCAAAAGTCGGCCCAGGGGCGAGAGAGGCGAGACATCGGGCAAGGGAGGAGCATGCGGTTGCATGTCTGCTTCCACTCTCCGCTACCTGGTAGTCAGGTCAGCATGCGGACTGGCTCCCTCATTTGAGGCGCCTCAAAAGTCGGCCCAGGGGCGAGAGAGGCGAGACATCGGGCAAGGGAGGAGCATGCGGTTGCCTGTCTGCTTCCACTCTCCGCTACCTGGTAGTCAGGTCAGCATGCGGACTGGCTCCCTCATTTGAGGCGCCTCAAAAGTCGGCCCAGGGGCGAGAGAGGCGAGACATCGGGCAAGGGAGGAGCATGCGGTTGCCTGTCTGCTTCCACTCTCCGCTACCTGGTAGTCAGGTCAGCATGCGGACTGGCTCCCTCATTTGAGGCGCCTCAAAAGTCGGCCCAGGGGCGAGAGAGGCGAGACATCGGGCAAGGGAGGAGCATGCGGTTGCCTGTCTGCTTCCACTCTCCGCTACCTGGTAGTCAGGTCAGCATGCGGACTGGCTCCCTCAAGTCCTTGGTCACCCGATCATTAATCAGAGTTTCAGAGTGCCCATGTAGCTGCTCTCCCTCTCAAGCCCCGCAGCAGTCACACCAGAAATCACGCACTGCACTGCACTGTACTGCACGCACACCTTCTACCACCATACCCCACCACTGGACCTACCTGGTGAGCATCCGGTACGGCTCCCTCAAATCCTTGGTCACCAAATCATCGATGAGAGTGCCCATGTAGCTGCTCTCCTTCTCAAGAAGAATCAGCACCCGCGAACCTGCTTCAACTCTCTCCCACTGCCAGAACTCCACCGTCCCTCTACTAGAAAGAACCCTACCTGGTGAGCATGCGGTATGGCTCTCTCAAGTCCTTGTTCACCACGTCATCAATCAGAGTGCCCATGTAGCTGCTCTCCCTTAGAAGCGCAATCAGTGATTGCCGGTCGTCTTCAACTCTCCCATACCAAGCCAGATGCCTGGCCCCTCGCCTCCCCTACCTGGTGAGCATGCGGTAAGGCTCCCTCAAATCCTTGGTCACCAAATCATCGATCAGTGTGCCGATGTAGCTGCTCTCCCTCTCCAGCGCAATCAGCGGCTTCCCGTCCGCCAGCCTGGCCGCGTTGATCCCTGCGATTAACCCCTGCAACGAGAAAGAGGCACGCATGCAAGGGTCTCGGATCAACACTCATGTCCTCAATGCACCAATCGTGGCAGCACCACACCACCTTCCCGTCCGCTAGCCTGGCCGCATTTATCCCCGCAATCAGCCCCTGCAACAAAAGGGGAAGAAAACATGTTTGCAAGGGGAGCAGCCGAATTTTGAGTCGACTCAAACTCACACTAAAAAATCAACTTGGTGGACAGACATCCAAAGCAGAGTGCAAGCAAGCAGAACAGAGTACTCAAATCCCGGTGGGCCCTTGAAATCCAGAAGACACTTCAGCCGTCAACGCGTATTCAAGCCAACAGAGTGGACATATTCGAGCACGTGCAGTGAAGCACCACCTGCCTGCGTATTCAAGCTGCTTGTGCGTGAAGTGAAGTGAGACAGTGCTTTAGGCACCGCACCTCAGAAGCCGAGCGCACACATTCAAGCATATGCAGGCAGGTGGTGCTTCTGCTCGTCAACATATGCATCCTGCCTGCTCAGCTCACCTGAGCGGCAGCCTCCTCATAGCCCGTGGTGCCGTCGATCTGCCCGCTGAAAAACAGCCCTCCAACCCTCTTGGTGGTGGTGCATGAGCACACTCACACACACATCGGACCATGTGTACAAATGGAAACAAAGCAAGGGCGCATGCACACACAACCTGCCTGCCTACCCACCTGCGCAGCAGCCTCCTCGTAGCCCGTGGTGCCGTTGATCTGCCCGCTGAAGAACAGCCCTTCAATCCGCTTGGTCATGAGTGTGCGCTGGCACTGGTACGCCGGCAGGTAGTCATACTCCACTGCAGAGGCAGGCTGGGGACGATAGGCAGCACAAGTTCTTACCTGCGCAGCAGCCTCCTCGTATCCAGTCGTGCCATTGATCTGACCGCTGAAGAACAGCCCTTCAATTTTCTTCGTCATGAGTGTGCGCTGGCACTGGTAGGCGGGCAGGTAGTCATACTCCACAGCGTATGCAGGCCTCAGCATGGCACAGCGCTCCAAACCAGGGAGAGAGCGCAGCAGGGCTAGTTGAAGACGTTCGGGCAGGCCAGTGGAGAATCCCTGGGGTGAAGAGCGGCACAGAGGGGTGCAGAGTGGAAAGAGAGAGAGAGAGAGTGTGTCTGGTACGCCAGCAGGTAGTCATACTCCACAGCGTATGCGGGTCTCAGCATGGCACAGCGCTCCAAGCCGGGTAGGGAGCGGAGTAAGGCTAGTTGAAGACGTTCGGGTAGGCCGGTGGAGAATCCCTGGAGTGCAGAGGGGTGCAGAGGGGTGCAGAGGGTATAAAGGAGAGAAAACACTGGTACGCCGGCAGGTAATCGTATTCCACTGCGTAGGCAGGTCTCGGGGAGAGAGCGCAATAGGTTATAGGGGGTTCATTGCAGACGCTCGGGTAGACCTGAGGAGAATCCTTGGAGGAGGATGGGTGGAAAGGGGTGGGTGAAGTGCTCCAGCACAGAGCACCAATTGAACCTCGGATCTTTTTCATCCCTCCCCAGCAATCACCTTCGGAACCCACCCACCCACCAACCCAACCCACCCACCTGGACGTAGAGGTCAGGAACGGTTAGCCTTCGCTTTTTTTAATCCCCCCCAGCACTCACTTGCATCCCCCCTCTCCCTCCACGACCCGCGCACTGCCCACGCACCCATCTGCGCATAGATCGCTGACATAGTTCGTTCCATCCCCCCCCCACTCACCTCCACCACCCACCCACCCACCCACCCACGCCCACATTCACGTAGAGCTCTGGCATGGTTCGGCCATCTGGCTCTGGCATGGTTCGGCCCTCTGGCCCTGGCATAATTTGTTCTTCACATCCCCCCCCTCCCTTCCCCCCCTCACTCACCTCCATCACCCACCCCCACCCACCCACACCCACCTGCACGTAGAGCTCTGGCACGGTTCGGCCCTCGGGCTCTAGGAAGATCTGATGCGACTCCTTGTCCTTGAATCGTACTATCTGTGTGTGGGAGAAAACAGGGAGGCAGGGGCAACAGCATGGAGCAGAGACGGGCAACAGGGTGCAGAGGAGGACACTTATGAGGCTGAGTCAGACACCGGGCTCAAGGAAGATCTGATGTGACTCCTTGTCTTTGAATCGTACTATCTGTGTGTGGGAGAAAACAGGGAGGCAGGGGCAACAGCATGGAGCAGAGACGGGCAACAGGGTGCAGAGGAGGACACTTATGAGGCTGAGTCAGACACCGGGCTCAAGGAAGATCTGATGTGACTCCTTGTCTTTGAATCGTACTATCTGGGGTTGCAAGCAAGGGGGGTGGGGGGACAAGCAGGGGGCAGCAGGGGGCAGCACGGGACAGAAAAAGGCAAGGGGGTTCAGAGGAATTCGGGCTCAAGGAAGATCTGGTGCGACTCCTTGTCTTTGAATCGCACTATCTGTGGAGACGGATCACGAGGGCAGCAGGGGGCAGAGGAGGCGACTTATGAGGCGACTCAACTCAGACATTGAGCTCGAGTGAAGATCTGGTGCGAATCGTTGTGCTTGAATCGCACTATCTGTGTGTGGGTGGGTGCAAAGAAAGAATATGAGAGGGGAAGGGGCCAGATAGGGGCAGAAGGAGGAAGTGGAGGCGACTTATAAGGTGTCTGGGACATTGGGCTTGAGTAGGATCTGGTGCGGTGCGACTCCTTGTCCTTGAACCGCACTAGCTATGATGGAACAAGGGGCAGAAAGGGGCAGAAAGGGGCTGAAAGGGGCTGAAAGGGGCAGAAAGGGGCAGCAAGGGGCAGCGAGGGGCAGCAAGGGGCAGCAAGGGGCAGAAAGGGGCAGAAAGGGGCAGAAAGGGGCAGCAAGGGGCAGCAAAGCAAGGGGCAGCAAGGGGGAGAAAGGGGCAGCAAGGGGCAGAAAGGGGCAGCAAGGGGCAGAAAGGGGCAGCAAGGGGCAGAAATGGGCAGCAAGGGGCAGAAAGGGGCAGCAAGGGGCAGAAAGGGGCAGCAAGGGGCAGAAAGGGGCAGAAAGGGGCAGCAGGGGGCAGAGGACGTGACTGAGACATTGGGCGCATGGAAGATCAGGTGGGACTCCTTGTCCTTCAATTGCACTTCTGTGGTGAATGTGGGGCGCATGCAGGGCAAGGGAGAGTGGGATGCTTGAGTGTGGCGACTTGAGTGAAGATCTGGTAAGACTCCTTTGTCCCTGAACCGCACTATCTGTGCTGTCTGTGGGGATGAAATGAAACAAGTGGGCAACAGCACAGCAGCGAGCAGAAAGGGGAACATGATCTGGTGCCACTCCGAATCCCCGCCATACGTGGGCGTCGCGTCTCATCTCATGCAGAGAGTTTTTGAGAATTCTCAAAAACTCCCTGCAACATGATCTGGTGCGACTCCCCGCCACGCCATACGTGGGCGTCTCATGCAGACTCGCCTCCACCAGCCTCTGAGTCCCCCTCTCCGTTCCCCCCTCTCCTCACCTTATCCTCGATACTCGGGCAGTAGCGCGGGCCTCTACCGTCCACCCAGCCGCCATAAGTGGGCGTCTCATGCAGGCTCGCCTCCACCAGCCGATGGGTCTCTCTGGTAGTGCGAGTCAACCAGCAACTCATCTGCTCCCTCCTCCTCCACACGCCCTCTCTCACCCGCACAACTTGCACAGTCACTCACACACACGCGCGCACACATGCACCCCCACCTTCCACCCGTCCTCACCTTATCCTCAATACTCGGGCAGTAGCGCGGGCCTCTACCGTCCACCCAGCCGCCATACGTGGGCGTCTCATGCAGGCTCGCCTCCACCAACCGATGGGTCTCTCTGGTCGTTCTGGTCAACCAGCAGCTCATCTGCTCCCTCCTCCTCCACACGCTCTCATCAAAGCTGAACCACCGCTCCCCCACATGCACACACGCACGCACACGCTCGCGCACCCACACACACGCACACGCACACGCCCTCACCTTATCCTCAATACTCGGGCAGTAGCGTGGCCCCCGCCCGTCCACCCAGCCGCCATAAGTGGGCGTCTCATGCAGGCTCGCCTCCACCAGCCGGTGGGTCTCACTGGTAGTTCTGGTCAACCGGCAGCTCATCTGCTCCCTCCGCCTCCACACGCCCTCTCTCACCCGCACAACTTGCACAGTCACTCGCACACACGCGCGCACGAGCACGCGCGCACACATGCACCCCCACCTTCCACCCCTCCTCACCTTGTCTTCGATACTTGGGCAGTAGCGCGGGCCGCGACCGTCCACCCAGCCGCCATACGTGGGCGTCTCATGAAGGCTCGCCTCCACCAACCGATGGGTCTCTCTGGTCGTGCGAGTCAACCAGCAGCTCATCTGCTCCCTCCGCCTCCACACACTCTCATCAAAGCTGAACCACTCGTACACATGCCGCACACACGCACGCACGCGCACGCGCACCCACGCACACACACGGCCTCACCTTGTCCTCAATGCTCGGGCAGTAGCGCGGCCCGCGCCCGTCCACCCAGCCGCCATAAGTGGGCGTCTCATGCAGGCTCGCCTCCACCAGCCGATGGGTCTCTTTGGTCGTTCTGGTCAACCAGCAACTCATCTGCTCCCTCCTCCTCCACACGCTCTCATCAAAGCTGAACCACCTCTCCCCCACGCCGTCCCCCCCCTCGGGATCGTCCCCTGGTTGCTCTTCTAGTCGGGAGAAATCGACGGTCCGGATGTCGATACGCGGCGGCGTGCCGGTTTTTAGACGGTCGGATTCGAAGCCGAGGGAGAGGAGGTACTCTGTGAGGCCGTGGGATGCTCCTTCCCCTGCCCGACCTGCTGGGAGGGATTGCCTTCCCACCCAAATGCGACCGTTCATGAATGTACCTGGTGGATGGGGAAGCGATGAGAAGGGAGGAAATTAAAGCCGAGGGAGAGGAGGTACTCGGTGAGCCCGTGGGAGGCTCCTTCCCCTGCCCGGCCTGCTGGTAGGGACTGTCTTCCCACCCAGATCCTTCCATTCATGAAGGCTCCTGGTGGATAGGGAAGAGATTAGAAGGAAGCAAATCAAAGCCGAGGGATAAAAAATACTCTGTGAGGCCGTGGGAGGCGCCTTCTCTTGCCTGGCCTGCTGGGAGGGATTGTCTTCCCACCCAGATGCGACCGTTCATGAAGGTACCTGGGGAAGGAGACGAGGAGAGGAAGGAGATAAAGATTCGAAGCCGAGGGTTAATAGGTAAACTGTGAGGCCGTGAGAGGCTCCTTCCCTTGCCCTGCCTGCTGGGAGGGACTGTCTTCCCACCCAGATGCGACCGTTCATGAAGGTACCTGGGGGAAGATGGATAGGGAAGGAAGAGAAGGGAGCAGATGATTGAAATATAGCCATGGGATTGGAAAAAGAAGGGGGGATTGGTGAAGCCATGGGATGCTCCCTTGCCTGCTCTGACTGACTGCTAGGAAAGCTGTTTCTTGAGACTTGTCAAGAAACAGCAGCTGCAATCTGCTCCCAACCCAAGCACCGCACTGCACCACACTGCTCTGAAACCTGCGTGGTTCGTGCGTGGGAGACTTTTGAGACGTCTGAAAAGTCTGCTCCCATCCCATCCCAAGCACCACCCTACTCTGAAACCTGCGTGGGAGAAGCATTTACGAGTCTACGACCACGTTATCGTACCTGTGGTGAGCACAACAGCCTTGGCCAGAAAGTCCACCCCAAAGAACGTCCTCACGCCCTGCACGTTGGGGCTCAGTCAGTACTTCTGAGGGCACTCAGCTGCTCTCACCACTACCACCATCCTCCCACCCACCCACCCAACCCTCACCGGTGGTGAGCACGACAGCTTTGGCAAGAAAGTCCACCCCAAAGAACGTCCGCACGCCCTGCACGTTGGGTATCAGGTACCTCTGAGCCTGAGAGCACGCAGCTGCTCTCACCACCCATTCGCCTGTAAACACGACCGCCCCTACCCACCTGTAGTGAGCACCACTGCTTTGGCCAGGAAGTCCACCCCAAAGAACGTCCTCACGCCCTGCACATCGTCGTTGGGGCCCACAATCAGCTCCGTTGCCATCGCCTCTCGGATGAACAGATTGGGCGTGCTGGGGGAGGAGGAGAAGGGGAGAGGGGGTTGGGCAGACAGTCTATCAGGAACGGAACAGAGAGGAAGATACTCGAAACCCGCACGCCCTGCACGTTGTCGTTGGGGCCCACCCCACTATGAGCTCCGTTGCCATGGCCTCTCGGATATACAGGTTGGGCGTGCTGGCGGGAGGAGAAGGAGGAGGGCAGGGGCAGTTAGACAGTCCGTCAGGAAAGAAGGGGTGGTTGATTGAAATCCGCATGCCCTTTGGCAATAAGCAGCCCCACCCAACCCTCCCAGCAATCATTTCTACATCACCTTGCACATGTCCTCTCGCTCTGCTCTGCTCTCCCTTGTCTGCCTGCGCCCCCTTGTCATCCCCCTTGTCCCCCTTGCCTCTCTTGTACTGACATCCTTCCTATCTCACTATCAACATCCCATCAGAACTCAACTCACTTTTCCACCACTGCTCTACTCCCGTCCCGTTTGTCCGTCTGTGCCCTGCTTCCTCAATCCCTGCTCCTGCTAACCGTACCCCGATCTCTGAGCCTCTCACCCCAATGACCAAACCATAGCCCTCCCCCACTCACTTCTCCACCACCTTCCTCATCTCCTCGCTGTACTCCCGCTTGTCCGTCTGAGCCTTTAAAGCCCACACCGCTGGTTGAACCTTGCCAAACCCTCACAAAACCTGCATAGCATACCGCATCCCACCCCTTTCAACTCCACTCACTTCTCCACCACCTTCCTCATCTCCTCGCTGTACTCCCGCTTGTCCGTCTGTGCCCTTAAAGCCCACACCGCCGGTCCCCGCGACCGGTTGAGCACACGCTTCTGCACATAGCACCTGGGGGGTAGAAGAGGGGTGGGGAGGGGTGGGGAGGGTTGGGAAAACGTGGGGGAAGAACTGGGGGCGCGGAGTAGAGGTTTATTGATTATGCTGGCCCTGGTAACTGGTGAAGCCAGGCACCATTCCGCACATGCACGGATGAGCAGGTGACTTTTGAGTCGACTCAAAGTCACCTGAATTTGGGGCACAGAGTAGAGGTTTATTGATTATGCTGGCCGTTGTAACTGGTGAAGTCAGGCACCATTCCGCACATGCACGGATGAGCAGCATAGCAGTCGCAAGCATAACATAGCGTCGGCACGGCATGGCATGAGCAAGCAACGAGCCGAACACTCCTTACCTTGTTGTAACTTGCCTTGTATGAGTAATGCGCCGGGGCCGAGTAATGCTCTTCAGGCGAGCCATTTTAGCACCCAACAGAGACGAATACTCGCCCAGAAAAACAATTACTCGCCCAAAGAAACAAATACTCGCCCAGAGAAACGAATATTCGCCCAATGAAACGAATATTCGCCCAATGAAACGAATATTCGCCCAAAAGAAACGAATACTCGCCCAAAAGAAACGAATACTCGCCCAAAAGAAACGAATACTCGCCCAAAAGAAACGAATACTCAATGGTTTACTACCCACCAGTCACCCCACCCCCGCCTTCCTACCTACCCACCAATCAACCCCACCCTGCCAGCTCACCTGTCCGTCATCCTCCCAATCCGCCCGCCCAGAGCATCTGTCTCATGCACTAGCTGTGACTTGGCCAAACCTTCAGAGGCGCATTGAGCGCCAAATCGCATCATTCCCATCATCAATCAACCCCACCCTGCCTGTTCACCTGTCCGTCATCGGTCATCCTCCCAATCTGCCCGCTCAGGGCATCTGTCTCATGCACTAGCTGTGGTGACTTGGCCAAACCTTCAGAGGCGCATTGAGCGCCAAACGCCAATCATACCCCCCAATCATACCCACCCACCCACCAATCAACCCCACCCTGCCCTGTAGGTCAGCTCACCTGTCCGTCATCCTGCCAATCTCCCCTCCCAGGGCGTCTGTCTCATGCACCAACTGTGATTTGGCCGGACCCCCCACTGCTGGGTTGCACGGCTGCAGAAGGGGAGGGAGGGAAGGAGAAATGGGGGGAAAAAGCGGGGAAAGGGGACGAGGGGGGGGGGAGAACCAGAGCGTTTGCCTCACGCACCGATTGTGACTTGGCCGTATCCCCCGGTTGCAAGGCTGGCAGAGGATGGTGGTAAAAGGGGGAGGCGGAAGAGTGTGGAGGAACGGAGGGAAGGGAACCAAGAACCCTAGCCTTTGGACTGCAATGGCTGAGCCCTCAACATAAACCCTTCGACCCTAAGGGCTGAGCCATCAAACCCTGGACCCCAAGATTCAAGACCTGAGTAGAGTACCACCAGCCATGCGGGTTTTGCCTAGTGACAGGTGTTGGCAGCATTGTTTCCGAACTTCGCCCCCCCTGCGGATTAACCCTTAAACCTTGAGCCCGAACCCTGAGTCCATCCTAACCCTAGGACCCCGGGAACCAACCAACCTAGGCCAGACCAGAATATCATCTGCCATGCGACTTTTCTTTACCTCGCGGCAGTGTTGACTGGCAGCAGTGCGTTTCCATGCTTGTCCGCACCACATCTTGGTTCCCAGCCTGGTCCATTCCATAACCACAAGGTAAGAAGCAACCCCTGACTTTAACCCAGAACCCTTGGCTTGACCACCCACCCACTGGGACCCACCTGCCATGCGATCTTGTCGAGGGAGAGGGTGAGCAGCAGCGTCCTGGCGCCCAGCCTGGCGGATGCCAATGCTGCCTCGCACCCCTGACTTACCTTGTATCAAGCAGCTCAGAACCCCTCATTCGACCCACCCACCCACCTGCCATGCAATCTTGTCGAGGGACAGGGTGAGCAGCAGCGTCCTGGCGCCCAGCCTGGCGGACGCCAGTGCTGCCTCGCACCCCTGACGTACCTTGGACCCACCTCAGAACCCTTGAACCCGAAACCCTTGACTTGACCATCTCACCCACCTGCCATGCGATCTTGTCAAGCGACAGAGTGAGCAGCAGCGTCCTGGCTCCCAGCCTGGCGGATGCCAACGCTGCCTCACACCCCGCGTGCCCCGCGCCTATCACTATCACATCGTACTGCTCGCCCTCCTCCTCCACTGAGAATGCTGGGCCACCTGAGAATGGTTAGGAGAAGAAGGGGAGAAGCAGAGAACAAGAGGTTGAGCTTGTGTGCCCCGTTCCTATCACTATCACATCGTACTGCTCGCCCTCCTCCACCGCTGAGAATGCTGGGCCACCTGAGAATGGTTAGGAGAAGAAGGGAAGAAGCAGAGAACAAAAGGTTGAGCTTGTGTGCCCCGCCCCTATCACTATCACGTCGTACTGCTCGCCCTCCTCCACTGCCGGTGAGAATGCTGGGACGCCTGGGAAAGACTGAAAGTGAGGCGAATTGGGAAGGCAGGAAGAACACACAATGCTCCAAAATTCACACCCCACCCTCACTTCCACATGCTCCTTCACTTCCACATGCTCCTTCACTTCCACATGCTCCTTCACTTCCACGTGCTCCTTCACTTCCACGTGCTCCTTCACTTTCACGTGAGCACTACCCCCTCACCGCTGCTCAAACCCTCTACCCACCCCCTTCTCCCCCCTTTCCCTGCTGCATCCCACTTGGTGTGTCCCAAATTACCCTTCCTGACCTCGCTGCACTCCCCTCCACCCAACCCTCCTCCCCCCCCCAAACACCCCTCCCCCTCTCCCCTCCTTACCTGCGATTGCGCGGTTCTGCTGCCTCGACGGATGCCCCAAGCCGCGCAACAACCGTCCGCCAGCTTCCCGCGCGCCTAAACCTGTCGCCCCCAGAGCCCCGCAGCCCCGCGCAAGCGGAACGGAGCTCAGCGCGCGCCGAGCTTGGTGCGCTGATCCCGCAATAGCACGTGCGGGCGGGAGAGACGGCGCAATTTGCGGATGTCCTGGACGGGCAAGCGACGTCGCGAAAACCTGGCGAGTGATCGCTTGCGGGGAGCGCGGAGCGTGTGTGCAAAAGTATACGCCGTTACTAATTGCGCGATCGACTGGCGACGGAAAAGTTCGACCGTGCGACGAGCGTCGGCGACCCGACCATCGCGGCAAGCGCGCCAAGCCGTGCCATGTGTCGGTTGCTGGGAAGCGCAAAGCGAACGACGTGGCCATGTCCATGCACGCGTCGCAAGTGCTCGACGCGGAAGCGCACGCGTCGCAATTGCACGAGGTACGAGACCTGGAGAAAAACTATGTCTTGCCTCGCGGGTCTCGTTCTTACGGAGAAGATACGAGACTGTGGAAGACTGCTAGACACTAGCACTAAACGCGCGAGATGTTGAAGGTGGGAATGGGTGTTGGAGCAGGTGAATGAATGTGCGTGGCAGTGTGCAGGATGAAGGGAGCTTCTAGGGCTTGTTCGTGTACGGTTCGTGCCACTTGATTCGACAGTTTCTGTCCTGGTTTCGTCTCTCGGTCGCTTCTCCAAACAGGCTCCCTTGCAGTTCCATAACAGGTTTCCATTGGAAAACGAAAGTGCTGCCGCGATTGGGCGAGAAGGGTAACTATCTTCGTAACTGGCCCAGTGTCGTTGATACAGCCAGAACCGTAACACGCGTCGCCGGAAGGTGGGATGCTCCAAGATACATTTCTTTCTTCAAATCGGTTCTAGTGTCATTGATTAGGGTTTCAGTTGAGTCTCGGCGCTCGCAGCATTTCACTTGGCTAGTAGCGAGGCCCAGGCGCTACCACCAGTGGATGCTGCTGCTTCATAAGTCGCTGCCGCTGCGGCTGCTGCTGCATCGTCTGTGCCTAGTTTGGGAGCATCCGTGCGGTTAGTCAGGCTGAATGAAGAGAACTCTTGTCTTGTACAGAATGCCCCCGCTAGAATAATGGAAATTAACTCAGCTGAATGTGCACCTCATTCGAGCGTTGCACATCATTCTGACGGTCTCACTACTCATGTCGGTGTAAATTATGATGTCACTGTGTATAAGGACGGCATTCTTAATAATATCCCAGCCATTCCAAATGCCTCCTCGCCGTTTTCTCGCCTCACTCGCGACTGTCTCGCTGGCGTCCTACGTAATCTTACCGACCCGCGTGACGTCATCTCCGCCTCCCTCGTCTGCCGCCTCTGGCACCAAACCTTCCGAGAATCTACGTCCCACTTCTCTTTAGTGTTCTGCTTAGAAACGTTGACGTGGCGGCCGTTCTTCCGCGACGTGAGCGGCTGTAGTTTCCTGAACCCGTGGGAGCCAGGCGTGACATGTAACTCGTCAACGTCCGGTTCAGTTCCGTCAGCCTCAGTTTCCGTTCCGTCAGCATCCGTCCCAAATTCCGTCAGCCTCCGCTCGCAACATCCAACGCCTTGGTTTCTCGATGATATTAATCTCCTACAATCAGGGCCTCCTCTAACGAAAGTTTGCAACGACTTACATTTCAATGCAAGGCATACTGATTTGGATAGTAAAACTGCAGTTGGCAACAGCAGCAGCAGCAGCAGCAGCAGCAGCAGCAGCAGCAGCAGCCACACGATTGAAACCAGGATTTCGCATACAGATGCCTCGTCGCCCAACCTTCCACCTCATCCCCTCCTCTCCTCCCGCCCTCTCCCTTCCATTCCCCCCCTCTCCCTCTTCTCCTCCTCTATCTCCCTTCATCTCCCCTCCCACCCAACCTGGTCACCCCGCCGCCTCCCCCTCCTCCTCTCCGCCTACCCCAACCTCACATCTCTCCTCCTCCCCCTCCCTCCCTCACTCACCTCCCCTTCTCACCTCGCTTCCCTCCTCTCCTCCTCCCTCCCCGCCATGTGCCCTCACCTACGCACCCTCCACATACAATTAGACTGCTTGCAGGGGGACAGGGGATATGGGGTAGAGGGGGATGGGGAGCTGGGAAGAAAGGGGGAAGAGGGTGTGGAGTTGGGGGGAAAGGCGGAAGAGGGGGAAGAGGAGGAAGAGGAGGCAGAGAGAGGGGTTCGGGGAATGGGGTGGAAGGAGGGTGGAAGAGCAGAGGAGAGGAAGGGGGAGAGAGGGGGCGGGAAGCAGAGAGAGAGTAAGAGGGATAAGGGGGAGAGGAAGAGGGCGGAGAGGAAGAGAGAGGAGAGGAGTGAGAGGAAGAAGGAGCAGGCTCACGAGCAGCAAAAGAGCACTTGTTGCAACAGCATCCCAATCATGGTAAACGGAGTACAGTCAACCGTTCTGGACCTCTCACCGAGCCTGGAGCGTTTGCTTCGGAAATGTCCGAACCTCCACTCGCTTAACTTCCAAGCGACACACACTTACCTCTTCCTTTCCCCCTCCCCTTCCCTCCTCCCCCTCCTCTCCACCCTCACCCAACTCTCTGCCCCGCTCTTCCACCTCCCTCCCTCCCTCCTCCTCCACCTCCCCTCCCTCACCTCCCTCTCTCTCACACTCCCTGTCGTCCTCTCTCCCCATCCACACCCGCAATACACCACTCTCTCAACAGATCCCATTCAACACCCTCCTCGTTCAGCCGGGCAACTGACCATACCAGCAGCAGCCCTGAGTGTCTCAGCAGCCCTGAGAGTCTCACAAGCCCTGAGCCTCCCAGCAGCCCTGTGCTCGCCCGGTCCCTTCCAGCACCTCTCCTCTCTCACGTGCCTGCGACTGGATCTGGTCCCATGCCCCGAGGCAACAGTCAGTGAAGCTCTCACTCGCCTTCAGTCATCTCCATCGGACCAGCACCCACCTGTGGAGCAGCAGCAGCAGTACCATCACCAGAGGCAGCACCAGCAACAGCACCACCAGCTTCTCGTTCTCCCCCCAGACATCTTCACCGGTTTGCACCTCTCTCTCCGCTCACTGCACCTCTCCTCCCCCCTGCCCATCGTGCCCCCACCTTCCCTGCACGCCCTCTCGCGCCTCACCTCCCTCTGTCTCCACTCACCAGTGCTCACCGCCAATCCTCCCCTTGCTGCTGCTGCTGCTGCTGCTGCTGCTGCTGCTGCTGCTGCTGCTGCTGCTGCTGCTGCTGCTGCTGCTGCTGCTGCTGCTGCTGCTGCTGCTGCTGCTGCTACTGGGGGGCGAAATGGCCTCATGGAAACGGCACGTTTTGGTAGGAATGGTACCGGTGCTCGTGCTGGTTCTGGCGCTGCAGTGTCTGTCGGAACCGGCGTTTCGATTGGTCGTGACGTGGTCATCGGTGGCCGTCGGATGAACCACAACCACATCACAACTAGTAATGGTAGTAGTGATGGTGATGATGATAACGACAATGAGCGAGACAGCAGTAGTCATCTCCCTACCTTCCCTACCTTCGCTTCATCACACCACTCCCTCCACTCCCTCCTCTCCTCCTTCCCCCACCTCACCCACATTTCTCTCCATGCCTGCTCCTCCGTTCCCCCCTCTCTCCTCCCCCTCGCCCCCCACCTCACCACCCTTCACCTCCCCCTCGCCTCCTCAGACCCAGATCAGGTCATCCCTCACTTATCCTCGCTATTGACTCTCTCACTAGGAGCCCTTGCAGTGCTACAGGACCGCTCCCCATTCCCACCCTCATTACAGTCCCTCTACGTCTGCTCTACCCCATTACCGCCTGCATTATCTGTAACACACACTCATACCAACACTAACACTAACACACTAACACCCTCCCTCCTCTCTACTTCCCCCATACACGTTCCTCCTTCCCTTACTCTTCGTCCCCCCCTGCCTCCCCCTTGGTACTCCTCTCTCTCCAAACCTGGCACCTTCCGAACCTCCTCCATCTTAGTATGGAAGGCGTTGCTTTAGCTCGGCACATCCCGGACCATGTCTGCCTCTTTCCGAGCCTCCGCGTCCTGAAGCTGCGGAGGCTCGGCGGCAGGTTCGGCTTCACCAGCAAGCAAGGCTTGGGAAAGCTTCCGAGCCTGACCCATTTTATGGGCGCACACAACCGCAGCCACAACAAACTTCTTTCCCTCTGCCCGAAAATTTATTTCATTAAAGCATATGAACCCGCCGAATATGTCGCTTTAACTGTTCTACAATGACTGCGCACTTTGGTAGTTGATCATTACCATATCCAGTCATGCTACCTGTGGTCCCTCTCTCGGTTCGGGTCGCTTCATACGCTTCGGATCACGAACCTCCAAGTGCAGGCTCGGGGTAGGCCTGGTAGAATGACATGTCCGCCGAGCCTGACCACCCTGCAGCTGGTGAATATTCAAGATACGGAGCTTCCAGGAGCTTTGTTACACTTTTCTGGAATACGAAGATTGGATTTGATTGAGTGCTGGAAGTTGGAGGCGCTTCCAGTGTTCCTCACAAGGTTTGAGAATCTGGTTAAATTGAACATTGAGGGTTGCACACGGAGGGAGCTTGGATGTCGCAGTGATGTGGAGACATTTTTGCAGGGGAGAAGATTTTTCCGAGGGGAAATCGTGAAGTGTAGGGATGTTGATGAGGATGATTGGTAGTTAAGGTGAGGAATTTTCTGTTTGTGGTCAGATTATTCGTGCTCCAAACCGTGTTGAAATTCATCTTTTACAAAATGTATTGGCTTGTACCCTCACATAAATTGATCTATAATGGTTTTTGTGTATGTGATAAGGTGATACAAACGATACACCGCCACAACTTTCCCCGTTGCCCGCCCTCAGTAGATTCGGGATTCCCAAGGCGTACGCACTTCTTCGCTGACATCACCCATATGCCAGGCACTTGCTTCAAACGGTCGGATTAGCAGATCCGTTACATCGGAGCACAACCACGGCGCAAAAGGTCCCCGCCGTGACGTAGCTCCCACACAAACGTCGCGTCGCAGCGTGACGATTTTCTGACGGCCGTCGTCGAAGTGCTTTCAGTGAGATCATCGAGGCGACGTAGTTGCGAAATACCAATGGAGCCGAAAGGCGGATCAAGAACACGCATCGCGAGGAGGAGGAGCCATAGAAGGGAGAGAAGAAGTGAGGAGTTAACGAGGAGCAAGCGAGAAGCAAGAGAAAGGGAGAGAGAGCGAGCTGCAACCCCTGCACTCACGGTGGATGGAAGTGCCGAAACTGTCAGGGGAAGAGGTTCAGAAGGTGTTTGGGTCAGAAACAGCGTGCGAGCATGCGTGTGACGTGCAGCTGAAGAAGCATCTTTTAAATCTCCCCGAATTTCAAACCGTGCTGCGCACCTATGCTTCTTGTCTCAAGGTATGTCGCACAACCATGCATTACAAAACCATGAGGGGCGAACTTTCACGCTGCCTGTCTTAAGCTGCGCCTCTCTCGCTGCCTTTTTGCTGCTGCGTGTTTTCCTTATGAGTTCTTTCGTCCCAGCTCTGCATGTGCCGATCTCTTGTCATCCTCCAATATCACTCCCCCCTTTATTCTCCCTCCCCTCTTCACTCCCCCTCTCCCTCTACTTTCGCTCGCTCCTCCACTCCATTCTCCCTCTGCACACTCTTCCTACCCCCTCTCGCTCCCTCCCACCCACTACACCCTCCCCCCTCCTCCACTTTCCCTGCCCTCTCTTACGTCTGCGCTTTACCAGATCGGGGCGTCTCCCGAGTTCCTGGCAGCCGTTGATGGCTTTGATCCTGTGGCTGCGCTGCAGCTGAAATACACCAGTGCTGATCAGCCGAATAACGCCACTGTTAATCAGCCACAACACACCACCACTGCTGACCAGTCGATTTTTGAGTCGACTCAAAAGCCACAACACACCACAACTGCTGATCAGCAGAAAAACACCAGTGGTAGCAGCCGTGAGGAGGGGTCAAATTCAAATCCAGCGGCCAGTGGGGACTCAAGGTCAAAGCCTCCTCCTATCAGCAAAGCAGGAGGTGCCTATGGGCTTGGTGCGGTGGAAGTGAATGGAGGCTTAGCCGCATCTCCCGAGGCAGACAGCTTGGCTGGCGCTCACAATCTCATGGTATGCATTCGCCCTCTGAAGATGATCTATTCTGTGTCCTCTCACCTCTTGCCTCCCCCGTTCCCCGCTATCTCCTTCCATCTGTTAATTCCATGAAGGTGCTTCAAAAGCCTCCAAGGTCACATCCATATGCCTCATTTATTTCCCACTACATCCTTCCAGGGCTTGAGACGTCTCAAAACATAAGCCTCATTTATTTCCCACTACATCCTTCCAGGTCTCTTTGAAGACCTATTTGCAGGCCGCACCCGCCTCCTCATTCCTTCCCACATCCCTCATCCCACACCTCCTTGCAGGCGTCTCTCTCTGAAGCTCTCGCTGCCTGCCTCGCTCGCATGCTGGCAGCCCACACGGCTGCTGAAACGTTTCTTGTGGACGTGGGAAAAGGCGTCTTTCAGGATGCTGCTGTTAATGCTGCTGGGGGTTTAGCTTCCGCTGCTGCTGCTGCTGCTGGGGGTGTGGCTGCCGCTTTTGCTGCTGATGCTGCTGCCAATGGATCTGCTGTTTCTGATGATGCTGGTGCTACTGTTGATGCGGCTGGCGGTGGTGTTGTTGTTGCTGTTTCTAATGCTGCTGTCATTGCTGCTGATGCTGCAAATAATGAAATCAGGAGCAGCAGCAGCAGTGGCAGCAGCAGTAATGATGGTGATGGTGCGTTCACCAGCAGTGCAATGGGCAGCAGAGGAAGTGGTGGTTTCCTGGAAGGAAACCAAGAGGGGGACATGTTCAATGACATCATGGCTGACATCAGCATAAGCTTAACTCTTGCAACTCACAGCCAAGAACACCACCGTGTTGGCTCACACTTGAAAGCAGAGGCCGCCAGCTCATCATCGCCAGCTGGCGATTGGGAAACGAGCCGAAATCAACAAGCCTTTCGGTCCAATCAGGGGTCACGTGAGGGCGATTGGGGCATGGGGCAGATTCATCACGGCTTTGACTCAGCTCAAGGCGACCAGGATGCAGACTGTGAGGAAGAGAGCTTGAGAGGATTAGACTGTGAGGAGGAGGAGATAGAGAGCGTGGAGGCGGTGGAGCGGGCGGTGAGGGGGCGGTTTGGGGGGTTCCTGCGGACGGTGAGTGCGGAGCATGTGACCAAGCATGTCAAGGGCAAGCTGCCTGAGGAAGCCACGTTAAAGCTTCTGCACTGGTGGACCGAGCATGTCAGCTGGCCTTATCCTACTGTGAGTGCGGAGTGTGTGGTAAGGGTTTCAGGGTTGTGAGTGTGTTTGTGTGTATGCGTGCGTTCGTGCGTGCGTGCGTGTGTGTGTGTGTGTGTGTGTGTGTGTGTGTGTGTGTGTGTGTGTGTGTGTGTGTGTGTGCGTGTGTGTGAGGCTTCGCTTGGTCAACCAGGATGCAGAGTGTGAGGAGGAGGAGATAGCAGGTGTCAGGTGAGTGGCAGGTGTGCGGTGGAGTGACAGGTGTGCGTGTACCGAGCATGTCAGCTGGCCGTACCCAACTGTGAGTGGTTACTGTGGCAGGTGTGTGTGTACCATGCTTGTGGTGAAGTGATATGGGCTAGTGTGTGCTGCATGTGACGGGCCATGTGAAGGGCCACCTCTTGAGTCAACTGAAAATCCACCTCTTTTGAGTCGACTCAACAGTCACCCGCTGGCATGAGGCAGCTGGTGGGCTGGCGCATGGGAAGATAGGCAAGCGGCGAGACGGAATCACGGGGAAGCATGTAGCCTGATGAACAATCACCGTACCAGCAATGCCAGACTTGATTAGGTACTCATCCTGTTTTTCTCTGCTGTGTTCCGTCCCTGAATGTGTTGCTGTGTGCCTTACCGGAGCGCAGGAGCAGGAGAAGCTGCAGCTGATGGGGCAGACGGGACTGGACTCACGGCAGGTGAACAACTGGTTCATCAACCAGCGCAAGAGGCACTGGAACCAGCACAGCAACAGGCAGCGCAAGGGCGTGTAAGGTAGATTTTACTTGGTAGGTATGGAATTCACAGCAGCCAATTTAAAATTAACATCAATTGCACATTCGCAGTTGTTTGAGCACCTTACAATATGCAGTTCCTGCGACTCCTAAATCAAAGACATGTCTAAGCAGGCACTGTTCTCTGATGAGAGGGAGGGTCTTTCGTCTGTACTGCACCCGTCAAATTAACCGACGCTGTAGGCGCGCTGATGGCCAGCGAGATTGGCGAAGAACGCGTTCAGCCCCCACGCGACAAAAATTTACGCAGGCGACAGGGACCCATTTCCGTCGCCGAGGTGCGTCGATTCGGGCGAAGCGTTTCCCTTGAACGCTAGTCCGCTGGGGTAACGAACGTTACCTAAACCGATCACCAAAGCTCGCTAACGCTCGCAAAAGCCGCAATTTAAACTACCAGGAAACCACTCTCCCCTGTTGCCTAACCAACTAGGCATTGCCAAACGCGTTCCATCCAGCCTTCGCTTTATTTGTGCATTATCAATCACAGCAATAATGCATTCCTACTAGGCATTCCCGCAGTTCACGCAACTCTGTAGTGCGCGAGCGCGGTACTGGTAGTGGTACTACCAGGCGGAAGCCCTTTTCGCCCTGCACCCTGTCGCGTAGTCTGAAGTCCGCTTCGTCCAGCCGCAACCCGCCAGTGGGCTTTCTTCCCGTCATCGCTGGCCCCGTTCCCCTCTCCTTTCCGTCATGGCGAAAAATATGACGAAAATCGCTCTCACCCTCCCCTGCGCTGCTCCCTCCACGCGGGACGCTGTGCGTCCGTCTCCCTCTGCGCGCCCCTCACCTTTCCGCAATGAACGAAACGCGTAACATTACTGTCCGCGAGTCCACAGCACGATGTTAGATCCAGTAGGAACAATGAACCAGTGCGCGCTTCACCACTTACTCCCAACACATATATCATCGACGCCCCCTTCCGAGCCCGTAATCACATTCTCACGCCACTTCCCGCTGATTACGTCTTTTCGCGCCTCCTCCTGACTCGCACCTTTCGAGCTCCACCCAATCCCACTTCGTCGCGCCTATACGAGCCTCAGTATCTGAGACTGCGACTTTTGAGGCGCCTCAAAAGCCCACTTCGTCGCGCCTATACGAACTTCAGTATCTGCTGAGACTGCGGTTCGACTCCTGTCTTGCAAAAGCCGAAGCCTTCGACGTCGTGCCGTGACCTTTGATTCCTCTCTAGTAGCCGTCACCCGCCGCCGTGATTCACCGTCACCCGCTGCCGTGATGGAACGCTCCGGGCGGAGGACTTTGAGTCGACTCGAAAACAGCCCCGTCGCCATGATGGAAGCCAAACGCTCCGGGCGGCCTCGGTCTGCCGTTGGCGCTGGCATGGGCGCGCTCGTGGCGGGACTCGTTGCACTCTGCCTCCTCGCGACCCCAGTTGCTAGTGAGTGCTGGATGTTTGCCGCCCACCGCTAACACGGAAAAGACATGACAGGCTACTGGTGCCCACTCTTGCTTCTCGCTCTCTTGTCTCCTCGCCCTCTTGCTCCTCGCCCTCTTGATCCTCGCCCTCTTGTCTCCTCGCCCTCTTGCGGCATGCTGCTTCTCATCACCATCTCCCCGTGTGGCTTCCTTGCTTCTTACTGCCAACTCAATTGCCCCCAACAGGCGTTGATTGTGGAGGCTGGAGCTGTGATGGGGAGGGTGCCTACTGCGCTGGGTCTGGTATTTACCCGTGCGGGTGCAGAAATGGTTTTGCCTTGAACGGTTTTACTACCTGCATTAGAGGTGAGTGTAAGGGCACAGCGGTTGCATGCATGCTTTTAGGCAGTAACTTTTCTCATTCCTACTTTATCTCAAATCAACACATGACCTCCCCCGTAGCAGTGTGGGTGGGTGTTGGATGGTGGGTAAGTGCACGCACAGGTTCAATTAAAGTCGTACATTTCACAAACTCCCACAAACGTTTCACAGTCAAAGCCCTTCTTGCATCGAACCACCACAATTTCCCGTGCAGCCGAGTGTGTGACTTATGAGGACTGCGGCGCTCCTCCTGCTGCATGCTTTCTCGTAGAGGGGAGCTCTTACCAGTGCAGGTGCTATGATCGAACCATCTACAACGCAACAACAAAGACGTGCCATGGTGAGTGCTTCATGCATGCATTATCGCAGACAATAGCACTCGCCACTGAACGTGCTCTGATGATGCTAATGGTCACAGCATGTATTACAACGCAACAATGAAGACATGTCATGGTGAGTGCTGACCTGTGGGTGGGTGCTGCTGGATTGTGAGTGGGTGCTGCTGGATTGTGAATGGTGCTGGAGTGTGAATGGGTGCTGCTGGATTGTGAATGGTGCTGGAGTGTGAATGGGTGCTGCTGGAGTGTGAATGGGTGCTGCTGGAGTGTGAATGGGTGCTGCTGGATTGTGAGTGGGTGCTGCTGCAGTGTGAATGGGTGCTGCTGGAGTGTGGGTAGACAGGATTATGCGAAATCGTTCCATCCACAAGACTCCCTTGCCCTAATTTACCTGAACCACAACGAATTCCTCTGCAGACGCGTGTTTTACAAAGGATTGCGGGACAGGCACTTCCTGCTCTGTGGGAGGCGATGGCGTTCCTAAGTGCTCGTGCACTGACAAAAGTCTTATCTACGATGAAAAAGAGAAGACATGCAATGGTGAGTGATGGAGTGTGAGTGTGTGCTAGTGTGTGGGTGAGTGCTAAAGTGTGCTAGAGTGTGGGTGAGTGCTGGAGTGTGGATGGGTGAGTGCTAGAGTGTGGGTGAGTGTTGGAGTGTGGATGGGTGAGTGCAGGTTTGTGGATGGTTCTTGGAGTGTGGGTTAGCGCACAGCAAACCTGTACATTCAGACAAACCTTTTCTCTTCTTTACACCGTGACCACGAATTACCCTGCAGACGCGTGTCATAACTATGCATGCGGGGCAGGTGCTACCTGCTCGGTGGGAGGCGATGGCATTCCTAAGTGCTCGTGCACTGACAAAAGTCTTATGTACGATGAAAAAGAGAAGACATGCAATGGTGAGTTGCTGGAGTGTGGGTGGGTGCTGGAGTGTGGGTGGATGGGTGCAGGTTTGTGGATGGTTCTTGGAGTGTGGGTTAGCGCACAGCAAACCTGTACATTCAGACAAACCTTTTTCCTTCTTTGCATCGTGACCACGAATTCCCCTGCAGACGCGTGTCATAACTATGCATGCGGGGCAGGTGCTACCTGCTCGGTGGGAGGCGATGGCATTCCTAAGTGCTCGTGCACTGACAAAAGTCTTATGTACGATGAAAAAGAGAAGACATGCAATGGTGAGTTGCTGGAGTGTGGGTGGGTGCTGGAGTGTGGGTGGATGGGTGCAGGTTTGTGGATGGTTCTTGGAGTGTGGGTTAGCGCACAGCAAACCTGTACATTCAGACAAACCTTTTTCCTTCTTTGCATCGTGACCACGAATTCCCCTGCAGACGCGTGTCATAACTATGCATGCGGGGCAGGTGCTACCTCCTGCCCCGCAGACGCGTGTTATCAAGTGGATTGCGGGAAAAGTGCCTCCTGCTCTGTGACAGCCGATGGCACTCCCAAATGCTCGTGCAATGCTACTGGTCACACCTTCAATGAAGCAGACAAGACTTGCAATGGTGAGTGGATGTGTGGGTGGGTGCTGGAATGTGGGTGGGTGCTGGAGTGTGGGTGGGGGCGGGATGGGTGTGTGTCAGTTTGTTCTCACAATTAAGTAAAGTCGTCCATTTCACATCTCTGTTCCCCTATTTCTCCTTGAAACCGTCATGAGTTCTCGTGCAGACGCGTGCTATCAAGTGGATTGCGGGAAAAGTGCCTCCTGCTCTGTGACAGCCGATGGCACTCCCAAATGCTCGTGCAATGCTACTGGTCACACCTTCAATGAAGCAGACAAGACTTGCAATGGTGAGTGGGAGTGTGGTAGGGTGCAGGAGTATGGGTGTTCCGAGTTCTGGCAATATGTGATATCCACAATGCAGGAAACAAGACATGCAATGGAGAGTGGTGGAGTGTGGGTTGGTGCTGGGATTTTTTTTGGGTGGAGTGTGAGTGGGTACCAAGAAGAAACCTCTTGCATCCTCTGTCGAGAGACTGTTGGTTTTCTTTCATTATACCTTCAAAACTTGGTTGTTCATTCTGACAATGTGACCAGTATGGGAGAGACAGGGTAAAATACGGTGAGAAACAAGCCTCTTTTTTGTCTCCCTATGCCTCCCCAATGGTTTTTTTACCCCTTCCCTTTTTTTTGCCGGTGGTGTTTGTCCCTCTGTGGTCCCCACAACAGCTCCCTCTGTGGAACCCACAACAGCCCCGTGTCCCAGGGATTGCGGACCCGCCAAGTGCGTTGTGGAGGAGGGCAAGGCCCAGTGCAAGTGCCCCTCGGGCCTCGTGTTCAATGAGGCTGAGAAGACCTGCAGCGATGCGTCTTATACTCCTGGTAAGTGTCCTTGTGTCTTGCCGCTGGTCGGTGTCTTTGTCTCTTGCTGCTGGTCGGTGTCTTTGTCTTTTGCTGCTGGTGGGTGTCTTTGTCTCTTGCTGCTGGCATTCATTCTGATACTATGTGATGTGATACTAACTCCATTCCCCCTCCACCCACGGCAGCGACAGACCCGTGTAAGGCGGGCACACTCAAGTGCGACAAGAACTCGAAGTGCGTTGTGAAGAACGGCCAGGGGAGTTGCGAGTGTGACGCCGGCTACACCAAGAGGAGCGGCCTCTGCACTGGTGAGCTCAACGAGGGATTTTCTTTCAAAGGCTGATGGTCAAGAGGCTCTGATTCACAGGCTGGTGGCCAAGAGCTGAAGAGGTCAAGAGCTGAAGAGGTCAAGAGCTGAAGAGGTCAAGAGCTGAAGAGGTCAAGAGCTGAAGAGGTCAAGAACTGAAGAGGTCAAGAGCTGAAGAGGTCAAGAGCTGAAGAGGTCAAGAGCTGAAGAGGTCAAGAACTGAAGAGGTCAAGAGCTGAAGAGGTCAAGAGCTGAAGAGGTCAAGAACTGAAGAGGTCAAGAGCTGAAGAGGTCAAGAGCTGAAGAGGTCAAGAGCTGAAGAGGTCAAGAACTGAAGAGGTCAAGAGCTGAAGAGGTCAAGAGCTGAAGAGGTCAAGAACTGAAGAGGTCAAGAGCTGAAGAGGTCAAGAGCTGAAGAGGTCAAGAACTGAAGAGGTCAAGAGCTGAAGAGGTCAAGAGCTGAAGAGGTCAAGAGCTGAAGAGGTCAAGAACTGAAGAGGTCAAGAGCTGAAGAGGTCAAGAGCTGAAGAGGTCAAGAGCTGAAGAGGTCAAAAGCTGAAGAGGTCAAGAACTGAAGAGGTCAAGAGCTGAAGAGGTCAAGAACTGAAGAGGTCAAGAGCTGAAGAGGTCAAGAGCTGAAGAGGTCAAGAGCTGAAGAGGCAGTGCATCCTTTAGAGGCAGTGCTGAATGTGAGTCTAGCTTGAGTTCAGTGCTCTATGCTGACAGTGGGGGTTCTGTGGTTTCCCCTCGCCACTCACTCACGCTTCAGCCTCCACTCGAACTCATTTCTCCCTTTGCTACCCCACTCAGCCTCCTGCTCTTTTCCCACTCCCTTACCCCTAACCTCCCTCCCACGCCCCCAACCTCCCGCCCACTCCCCCAACCCCCTGCCCACTCCCCCAACCCCCCGCCCACTCCCCCAACCCCCTGCCCACTCCCCCAACCCCCCGCCCACTCCCCCAACCTCCCACCCACTCCAGCTGTTTGCAAGCGGGCCTGCCCTGTGAATGCGCAGTGCACGGTGGAGAGAGGAAAGCCGGTGTGTCGGTGCAAGACACGTTTCAAAATGGAGGGCAACAAGTGCATACGTAAGTGAGAGGGAGAAATTTCTTTCTGTGCAAACCAGTTTTACCTGTCCCAACATCTCCACCTCCCACATGCACCCATGACACATCCGTGCCATCTACTCTCACTGTCTGCCCTCCAACCGTTTCCCACTCATTTTCCAAACTCTTCCTTCACTTCCACCGCTCTACCCACCACATGTGGCAGCCGTCTGCACTACTGCCTGCCCTGCGAATGCGGAGTGCAAGGTGGTGCAAGGGGGAAAGCCGGCATGTCAGTGCAAGGCAGGGTTCCGAATGGTGAATGGCAACAAGTGCACTCGTAAGGGACCTTAACAGGGCATGCACCTCTACCTCCACCTCTTAAGGGACCTTCGCTTTCAAGCAAGCCCCTAATGGTGCCTGCCTGCCTGCCACATTTATGCCATCTAGAATTGCTTTGTGTCCTTATCTCCATCTTGCTCATTGATTTACATTCTTCTCTGCTGGTCTTTCCCCCATCACATGTGGCAGCCGTGTGCCAGGCTGGCTGCCCTGCCAATGCGCAGTGCAAGGTGGTGGGAGGAAAGGCGGCATGCAAGTTACGAGGCAGGGTTCCAAATGAATTATAACAAGCAGTGCACTTGTAAGAGATAGAAGGTGGAAAGAGAGAGGTAGATAAAGAGGGTGAATTGTTTTGTATCTTTCGTGCTCTTCCTTTCATATTTTTCTCCACTGGCTGCTCTAATCATTAGCGCCCCACCACTATCACCACACATTCTTATCACCACACATTCTTATCATCACACATTCTTATCACCACGCATTCTTATCACCACACATTCTTATTGCCACACACTCATCTTCTTGAGTCATATGTTTCCACCATCCACATGTTGCTCCCATAGCTGATCATCCACATGTGTGATTGTTATGTCATGCCTCCACCATCCACATTATGTCATGCCTCCACCATCCACACGTTGCTCCCATAACTGATCATCCCGGTTCATTTTCCGTTTTATGTCACTTCCTACATTCTGGCCTGCCCTCACGTTCTCCCACTCATTGCAACTCAGAGAGCTGATTTTGTTCACGACAAAGGTGTTGGTGAACAAGAAAAGGAAGTACGGTACAAGTTGGCAGTGCAAGAGGGACGTCAGGTCGCCAGGGGCTGATGGAGCAGATTTTTTAGGCGCCTCAAAAATCAACTCAGAAAGCTGAAGATGTTTACTTCAAAGGGGTTGGTGAACAAGCGAAGGCAGTACAGGTTGGCAGTGCAAGAGGGCCGTCAAGTTGCCAGGGGCTGATGGAGCAGAGGTGCGAGCAACTGCATGCGGTTGCTCGGAGGCCAGAAACCAATCAGTGTGACGATTGGCTAAGTCAACCTGTGCATGCACTAGGGATGAGATTACGGCACATGCTTGATTGGCTGGTTGTACCATAGCGTGTAACTTAAATTAGTTTGGAAGGATTGCTAGTTGCTTTTGGATCAGTTTTTTATGTGCTACTTGGATTTCTTTGCCTTAAGTTAGTGTGCCCTTTTCCCTGAAATAACTTGCGTTTGAAGCATGTTGGTATGAAAAATGTCATGCAAAAAAAAAAAAAAAAAAAAAAAAACGAAACAGCAACAAAAACCGGTAGCAATGTGATGTGAACAACCCATATGCGCGTGGATGGTGGAGATTTTGTCAGGGTCCTTGCTAGTGCCAGAACCCACCTGACACATCAGACGGGCCCTTCGGGTCCGTCTTCTACATCGGACATGTTGCCCATACTCTAAAGAAGGTCTCGTTGGGCTCGTTGGCCCTTAAGTTTTTGAGAAATTTTTAAAACGTTGGTACGGAATGGTGACCGAGTTTTTTTAAAAAGCACAGAGGAGCCAGGGAATTGTGGTGGAAAAGGTGAGGAAGGGGATTGTAGTGGGAAGTTGGAAACTATCTGACAACTTTCTGCACCCTTCTTTCAAGGCTGTTGTGAGGTAAGTTAAACGGTCGTCTCATGAGTGGTTGGATGGCAGATAGTCATGTGGCCGAAGCTGCTCGCGTGCTCTCTGATGATGGACCCAAGGAGGAATTGGGCATGGGGTGGAGGAGGATTGGATCCCATCTTTCTTGTGCAAGTGCTGTGTGCTGCTGCTGCGGTCCCTGGATGGTATCGTGTTGTTAGCTGCCTGGATAATTTTGTGAGAATGTTATATTTCTCTAGTCTGCAGTGGAGTACTCTGTAATGAGTACAACCATGTTAGGGTTTTCTATATGTAACCCATTGTTTGCTAGTGAAACCCCTCTCCTGCTGTTCTTTTCTAATTATGGCTACTAAGTACTAGCTACTATTCTCAACATGCTATCAGAGCGATTACGCTCCTGGCCTGTGGGCCCACCTGCTTCCGCTGTTGTACTTTCTGTCGCGTGCCCCGTGGCGCGCGGCGTTTTTCCTTCCCGCCGCGCACTCGGGGCGCGCGGCGGTTTTCAGCCCGCCACGCGCTCGGGGCGCGTGGCAGTTTCCTGCCCGCCGCGCGCCTCGGGCGCGCGCGGCGGTTTCGTCGCCCGTCGCGGCGCCCCGGGGGCCCGCGCGCTGTCCCCTCCCGTCGCACATTGCGGCTTCCCGGGGGCTCGCGCGCCGCCCTCTCACGTCGCCCGTCGCGGCGCCTTGGGGGCCCGCGCGTCGCCCCCCCTCCCGTCGCCCGTCGCGGAGCCCTGGGGGCCTGCGCGCCGCCCCCTCCCGTCGCCCGTCACGGCGCCCTGGGGGCCCGCGCGTCCCCCCCCCTCCCGTCGCCCGTCGCGGCGCCCTGGGGGCCCGCGCACGGTCCTGCCTGTCGCCCTTCGAAGCGCCCCAAGGACCCGCGCGACGCCCCGCTTCCGCTCGCACGCCGCCCCAGCTGCTGCCCGCGTATATGCCCCGCGTTGCGCGCGCGCCGCCTGCGTTTGGGGTATGGGGGTGGCGGGTATGGGGGTGGCGGGTGTGTGAGCCGTCCCCTACTCCTCCTCCTCCTCCGTCTCCCACTGCTACAGCTGCCGCTGAGGGGGGTGGATGTGTGGGAGCCGAGGGAGTGGCGCTAGGGGGGTGCCGTGGGAGTGGAGCTAGCGGTGCATAGGGGGTGTGTGAAAAGGGGGTCTGCGACAGTGCGGGAGGGTTGAACGGAGGTAGCCGTTGTGGAGCCAGCAGCACCAGTAGTCCGGGAAGGTCGTGCTCTTGCTCCGGTAGCCAGCGAGCCCGCTGCACCAGTTGCCCGTGGGTCCGTTGCTCCAGCCGCTCGTCGTAGCCGCGGAGTCAGTTACTCCAGTAGTCCGGGAAGGTTGTGCCCAGCCCGTGTGCCAGTTGCTCCAGTAGCCCGTGTGCCAGTAGCTTCAGCCTCCGCCTCCAATCTTCTCTCCTCTCACAGTCTCTCCTCCTCCTCACTTGCCCCCTGTGACTGCCTCTAGCTCTGCTTGTGCTTGTGAACTTCTTATGCGACTGTTTGCTGTGCTGATCATACCCCACTTTGCCTATGGGGGTGTGTCAGTATGAGTACAACCCTGTTAGGGTTTTCTATATGTATCCCATTGTTTGCTAGTGAAACCCCTCTTTTGCTGTTCTTCTCTCATGCTAGTACCCAAAACCCTAACTATGGCTACTAAGTAGTAGCTACTATTCTCAACAAATTTATTAGGCCCACCGTAGTTTGTAACAAACTCGTGGTAATGATATTGTGTATATGCAACCATTTGTTGAAGGATCTTACATTACACCACCAAGAAAGAGCAAATCAACCAAGACATTCAGTTACCGTATTCTCCCGGACAAAACACCCCCCCCGAATTGTACACCTCCAGGTAGCTTGTGCGGGGTGGGTGCTATAGCCGACCCCGTTTGTGTCACAACACTAGCTAGAACTTAGTAGCCATAGCTAGGGTTTAGGTTACAGAAAAGAGAAATGGAAGAAAGGGCATTTACTAGCAAGCAATGGTGTACACATAGCAAACCCTAGATGGGATGTACTCACTATAGAGTACCCTACTACAGACTAGACAAATAACACATTTTGACACACCCCCATAGGCAAAGTGGGGTATGATCAGCACAGCAAGCAGTCGCATAAGAAGTTCACAAGCACAAGCAAAACTAGAGGCAGTCACAGAGGGCAAGTGAGGAGGAGGAGGGACTGTGAAAGGAGTGGAGATAGGAGGCGACGGGTGAAGCCGCAGACACACGGGCAATAGGAGCGGCGCGCACGGGCTACCGAGCACAAGCAAGGGTATCCGGACTACTGGAGTCACTGGCTCCGCGGCTAAGACGAGCGGCTGGAGCAACGGACCCACGGGCGACTGGCGCAGCATGCTCGCTTGGCTACCGGAGCAAGGGCGACCCCCGGACTACAGGCGCTGCTGACTTCACGACGACTACCTCAGTTCAACCTCCCCCAACTGTTCCACACCCCTTTCACGCACCCCTTGCTGCACCCCTAGCCCCACTCCCACGACACCCCCCTAGCGCCACTCCCTCGGCTCCCACACACGCACCCCCTTCAGCGGCAGCTGCAGCAATGGGAGACTGAGGAAGAGGAGGAGCAGGGGACGGCTCACACACCCGCCACCCCCATACCCGCCATCCCCATACCCCAAACGCAGGCGGCGCATGTGCGGCGCGGGGCAGGGGAAGGGGATGGGGAGTTGGGGGGACAAGCGGAAGGTGGGGAAGGGGAGGATGAGGATGCAGAGGAAGGGGTTGGGGGACGGGGACGGAAAGAGGGTGGAAGAGCAGCGGGGAGGAAGGAGGAGAGGGGAGGCGGGAAGCAGAGAGAGAGTAAGAGGGATAAGAGGGAGAGGAAGAGGGCAGAGAGGATTAGTTAAGAGAGGAGGGAGAGAAAGAAAGTGCAGGAAGGGAAGCAAGGCGAGCAGTGGGGAGGGCAGGATCACGAGCAGCATAGGAGCACCTGTTGTAACAGCGTTCGGTTCACAGTAGACGGAGTACAGTCCACCGTTCTGGACCTCTCGCCAAGCCTAGACCATTTGCTTAGGAAGTGTCCGAACCTCCGCTCGCTCAACTTCCAAGCGACGCACTCATACCTCTTCCTCTCCCCCTCCCCTTCCCTCCTCCCTCTCCTCTCCTCCCTCACCCAACTCTCTGCTCCGCTCTTCCACCTCACTCCCTCCCTCCTCCTCCACCTCCCCTCCCTCACCTCCCTCTCTCTCACACTCCCCATCGCCCTCTCCACCCATCCACACTCGCAAATCGTCTCTCCCTCAACACATCGCTCCCAAAACCCCTCTCTTTCAGCCGGACAACTGACCATGTCAGCAGCAGCCCTGAGTGTCTCACAAACCCTGAGCTTTCCAGCAGCCCTGTGCTCGCCCAGTCCCTTCCAGCACCTCTCCTCTCTCACGTGCCTGCGACTGGATCTGGTTCCATGGCACGAGGCAACAGTCAGTGAAGCTCTCACTCGCCTTCAGTCATCTCCATTGGACCAGCACCCCCCGGTGGAGCAACAGCAGCAGCAGCAGCAGCAGCAGCAGCAGCAGCAGCAGCAGCAGCAGCAGCAGCAGCAGCAGCAGTAGCAGCAGTACCATCACCAGAGGCAGCACCAGCAACAGCACCACCATCTTCTCGTTCTCCCCCCAGACATCTTCACCGGTTTGCACCGCTCTCTCCGCTCACTGCACCTCTCCTCCTCCCTGCCCATCGTGCCCCCACCTTCCCTGCACGCCCTCTCACGCCTCACCTCCCTCTGTCTCCACTCACCAGTGCTCACCGCCAATCCTCCCCTTGCTGCTGCTGCTGCTGCTGCTGCTGCTGCTGCTGCTGCTGCTGCTGCTGCTACTGGGGGGCGAAATGGCCTCATGGAAACGGCACGTTTTGGTAGGAATGGTACCGGTGCTCGTGCTGGTTCTGGCGCTGCAGTGTCTGTCGGAACCGGCGTTTCGATTGGTCGTGACGTGGTCATCGGTGGCCGTCGGATGAACCACAACCACATCACAACTAGTAATGGTAGTAGTGATGGTGATGATGATAACGACAATGAGCGAGACAACAGTACTCATCTTCCTACCTTCCCTACCTTCGCTTCATCACACCACTCCCTCCACTCCCTCCTCTCCTCCTTCCCCCACCTCACCCACATTTCTCTCCATGCCTGCTCCTCCGTGCCCCCCTCTCTCCTCCCCCTCGCCGCGCACCTCACCACCCTTCACCTCCCCCGCGCCTCCTCAGACCCTGATCAGGTCATCCCTCACTTATCCTCGCTATTGACTCTCTCACTAGGAGCCCTTGCAGTGCTACAGGACCGCTCCCCATTCCCACCCTCATTACAGTCCCTCTACGTCTGCTCTACCCCATTACCGCCTGCATTATCAGTAACACACACTCATACTAACACTAACACCCTCCCTCCTCTCTACTTCCCCCATACACGTTCCTCCTTCCCTTACTCTTCGTCCCCCCGTGCCTCCCCCTTGGTACTCCTCTCTCTCCAAACATGGCACCTTCCGAACCTCCTCCGTCTTAGTATGGAAGGTGTTGCTTTAGCTCGGCACATCCCAGACCACGCGTGCCTCTTCCCGAGCCTCCGCATCCTGAAGCTGCGGAGGGTCGGCGGCAGGTTCGGCTTCACCAGCAACCAAGGCTTGGGAAAGCTTCCGAACCTGACCCATTTTCTGGGGGCACACAACCGCAGCCACAACAAACTCCTCTCTCTCTGCCCAAAAATCCATTTCTTCAAAGCGTATAAACCCGCTGAATATGTCGCACTAACTGTTCTGCAATCACTGCGCACTTTGGTAATTGACCATTACCATATCCAGTCGTGCTACCTGTGGTCCCTCTCTCGCTTCGTGTCACTCCATACGCTTCGGATCACGAACCTCCAAGTGCAGGCTCGGGGCAGGCCTGGGAGAATGACATGTCCGCCGAGCCTGACCTCCCTGCAGCTGGTGAATATTCAAGATACGGAGCTCCCTGGAGCTTTGTTACACTTTTCTGGAATACGAAGATTGGATTTGATTGACTGCTGGAAGTTGAAGGCGCTTCCTGTGTTCCTCACCAGGTTTGAGAATCTGGTTAGATTTAATATTGAAGGGTGCACACCAAGCAAGCTTGGATGTCGCAGCGATGTGGAGGCATTTTTGCAGGGGAGAAGGTTTTTCCAAGGGGAAATGGTGAAGTGTAGGGATGTTGATGAGGATGACTGGTAGCTGAAGCGAGTCCTGTCCTGTTTGTGGTGAGTTGATTCGTGCTTCAAATAGTGTTTATCGTTTATCTGATGCAAACATCTTCGCAAATACTTAGACTTATCTATAAGATTGTTTTGCATTTATTAATGTAGTGGAATATTCAGTGGAGTAGAGTTGTGATTCCACACTACTTTCCCCGCTAAACGTCCTTCATTCCGAACTTCCGAGCTAACCCTGAACTGTTCGACACATGACTCTTCGCTGACGTCACGAATTTCCCAAACAGTCGGGTATACATGTCATCTCATCACAGCACATAGGTCCCAGCCTCGCACACGAACGTCGCGTCGATCCGAAACACGATTATTTTCTCTCTCTTCGGCCGTCATCGAAGTGCTTCGAGTGAGATCATCCGCCGTGACGGTGTTGTAGTTTAACCTAAACACTTCGAAAGCATGGCGTCCGTGGACCGGGGCGTGTCTATTCGCGTAGTAGCAGAGACCTTGATCGCTTCATGCTGCTCGGTGCTCCGACTCCCGTCCTGCGCCGGCCGGCGGGAAGGCCTAGCAGAGTACATTAGCAGTGCAGCATCTGTGCTTATGAATTCGAGACATCCAGAAAAGACTCGTGCGTTTGAGACGTTCGAAATCGTGAAGGCCAAGGAGTTGGAGCAACCGCGGTGGTCATAGTCCTTCCCTCGTACGTCCACGTGCTGAGCGACATTTGAGTCGACTTGAAAGGAGCAACTACAGTGGTACTGGTCCCTCCGTCGTACGTCCGCGTGCTGAGCGACATTTGAGTAGTTGCTCCTTTTGAGTTCCACGTACGACTCAAAAGGAGCAACTGCAGTGGTACTGGTCCCTCCCTCGTACGTCCGCGTGCTGAGCGAAAGACGAACAAGAGCACGCCGCAAGAGGAGGAGCAAGAGGAGGAGCGGTAGAAGGGAGAGACGAAGTGAGGAGCTAGCGCGGAGCAAGAGAATGGAGGAGCTGCAACCCTTGCACTCAGGGATGGACGCGTGTCAGAAGCTGACTGGGTCAGAAGCAGCCAGCGAGCATGCGTATGACATGATGCAGCTGAAGCAGCGTCTTCTAGATCTGCCCGAATTTCAAAGCGCGCTGCGCACCTATGCTTCTTGCCTCAAGGTATGCCGCAGAACCATGCCTTTCAATCCATTAGAGGTGGCCTTTCCCTCTCCCTCGACTATCCCTCGCTTCTCCAATCTCCCTCCCCGCACACTATTCCGCCCTCCCCACTCTCAACCCCCCTCCCTCCCCCCCCCCCCCTCCCCCCCTCCCCTCTCCACCCTCCCTCTCCCTGCCCCCTCCACTCTCCCTCTTCCCTCATTCTCTCTCCCCCCTCCTCTCCGCCCTCCCTGCCCCCTCATACCTCCGCACTATTTCAGATCGGGGCGTCTCCTGAGTTTCTGGCAGCCGTTGATGGGTTTGATCCTGTGGCTGCGCTGCATCTAAAATACACCAGTGCTGAGCAGCTGAATCACACCACTGCCAAAAAGGGAAAACACACCACTGCTGCATGTGCTGGCCAGCAGTGCTGATCACCAGTGCTGATATGTGTGACAGTGACAGCAGCCGTGAGGAGGTCCTGAATCCAACAGCCAGTGGGGTTGGAAGGACAAAGACACCTATCAGCGATTCAAGGGGCGCCAATGGGTTCGGTGCGGTGGGAATGGATGCAGGGTTAGAGGCAGCTCTCGAGGCGGATGGCTTGGCTGCCGCTCACGATCTGATGGTGCGTTTCCTCCTGTTCTCCAAAGGGTATGTATGTATCCTGTGCCTCCTCCATTCCATTCCAATCTACCTCCTTCCATACGTCATTCGATTCTTGCGTTGCCTTACATCCAAATGCCTCATTTATTCGTCACTATATCCTTCTTGGCGTCTCTCTTTAAATCCCTCACGTCTTGCCGTACTTGCCTGCTCATTCCTTACCTCATCTCCTCATTCCTTCTCACAGTTCCTTCGCACACCTCCTCACTCCTTCCCAAACCTCCTCATCTCTTCTCACACCTCCTTATTCCTTCTCACATGTCCTCATTCCTTCCCATTCCCAAGGTTCAAAATTACCAACGTATTTATGAAATTGATCTACGATTTCTCACAGGAGCCTATTAAAAGAAACCGTATAAAACGGTAACATTTCAAAAATACGACCGTAATTTTGAACCTTGCCCATTCCTCCTTCCAGGCGTCTCTCTCTGAAGCCCTCACTGCGTGCCGCACTCGCCTGCTTGCAGCCCACGCGGCTGCCGAGTCATTCCTTGTGGATGTGGAAAACAGCCACTTGCAGGATACTGCTGTTGGTGCTGCTGGTGCTCTTGATGCTGTTGGTGCTGCTGGTGCTCTTGATGCTGCTGGTGCTGCTGATGCTGCTGGTGCTGCTGATGCTGATGCTGCTGATGCTGCTGGTGCTGCTGATGCTGATGCTGCTGATGCTGCTGGTGCTGCTGTTGCTGATGCTGCTGATACTGCTGGTGGTGTTGCTGTTCCTGATGGTGGCGCTGCTGGCGTTGCTGGTGCTGATGCTGTCAACCCTGGAATTTGCAACAGCAGCAGCGGCAGTGGAAGCAGCAGTGATGGCGATGGTGCGTTCACCAGCAGTGCAATGGGCAGCAGAGGAAGCGGTGGTTTCCTGGAAGGAGACCGAGACGACATGTACGATGACATCATGGCTGACATCAGCACAAGCTCAACTCTTGCAACTCACAGCCGAGAACACCAGGGCGCCGGCCCACACGTAAAAGCAGAGGCCGCCAGCTCAGCATTGCCAGCTGGCGTTTTTTACTATTCTCAGGGGTTGCATGAGGGTTACCCTGGGAGTATGGATAGGACGCAACATGGCTTTGACTTCTCCCAGAGCGGCCCGGAAGACGAGTGGGAGGAGGAGGAGATAGAGAGTGTGGAGCAGGTGGAGCGGGCGGTGAGGGGGCGGTTTGGGGGGTTCCTGCGGACGGTGAGTGCGGAGCATGTGGCCAAGCACGTCAAAGGCAAGCTGCCCGAGGAAGCCACCGGGAAGCTTCTGCGCTGGTGGACCGAGCATGTCAGCTGGCCGTATCCTACCGTGAGTGTGAGAGCATGTGGCTACGGTTTAGGGCTGTGTGTGTGCGTGCGGGCGTGTGTGCGTGTGGGCGTGCGTGTGGGCGTGTGTGCGGGCGTGTGTGTGGGCGTGTGTGTGGGCGTGTGTGTGGGCGTGTGTGTTTGTGTGTGTGTGTTTGTGTGTGTGTGTGTGTGTGTGTGTGTGTGTGTGTGCATGTGTGTGTGTGTGTGAGCGCGCGCACCCGTGCCACTCTGTGCAAACGCCCCACCCCATGCTGTGAAATGGTAGGTGTGTGTGCTCATCCTTCTTTGGATTGCCGTCCGCCCTCCCTGAATGTGTTGGTGTCTACCCTTTCGGGATGCAGGAGCAGGAGAAGCTGCAGCTAATGGGGCAGACGGGGCTGGACTCGCGGCAGGTGAACAACTGGTTTATTAACCAGCGGAAGCGGCACTGGAACCAGCACAGCAAGAGGCAGCGCAAGGGCGTGTAGTTGAGCTGGTAGTGGCTGCAGTGGGACAGACGGGGCTGGACTCGCGGCAGGTGAACAACTGGTTTATTAACCAGCGGAAGCGGCACTGGAACCAGCACAGCAAGAGGGAGCGCAAGGGCGTGTAAGGCGGATAGGTACTTGGTAGGTATGGATTTCACAGCAGCCATTGAAATTTTTACTTCAAGTGCACATTCGCAGTTGCTTCGGACACCTTATTATATATGCGGTTTCTGCATGCCCCAATCTAGTGACGACTAATAAATCAACCACATTTCTAAGGCAGGACGATCTAGATTGGAGGGAGGTGATCTGATTGTAGTGCACAGGTTGCTGAAGAATTTTTGAATGTGTAGAAGTTTGGTAATTCTGTAAACTACAAAGCTACAGTGCTAATGCGCAAATAATCGACTCTATGCAGGATCGATAGGGGGAGGGGAGTGCTCTGACATTGGCAAGAACGCGTTCGGTCCCCACGTGACCAGACTTTGCAGGTAACACGGACCGATTTCCGTCGCCAAGGCGTTTCAGTTTAGGCGAAACGTTCCGCTCGCAAAACCTCGCATTTTATTGTTACCAGCAAATGTTTTGCCAACTCCAACCATTCCCTTCCCTCCTATTGGACTAGGCATTGCCAAACGCGTTCCATCCAGCCTTCGTTTCATTTGTGCATTATCAATCTGAGCGATAATGCACTCTTACAAGGCATTCCCGCAGTTCTCGCAACTCTGCGCCGCGAGCGCATGACTGGTTGTAGTACTACAAGGCGGAAGTCTTTTCGCCCTGCACCCCGTCGCGGAGTCTGAAGCCCGCCTCGTCCATCCGCAACCCGCCAGTGGGCTTTCTTCCCGTCATCCCTGGCCCCGTCCGCCTCTCCTTTTCACCGCGTATGGCGAAAATCGCTCTCACCCTCCCCTGCGCTGCTCCCTCCGCGCGGTACGCTGTGCGTTCGTCTCCTTCCGCGCGCCCCTCACCTTTCCGCAACGAAACGAAACGCGTTACATTACTGTCCGCGAGTCCACTCCGCAGCGCAAAATGTCAGATTACTGTTCTTAGTAGGAACAATGAACGAGTGTGCGCTTCACCACTCACTCTCTACACATATATCGACGCTTCCTTCCGAGGCCGTAATCACATTCTCACGCCACTTCCAGCTGATCACGTGTTGTCGCGCCTCTTCCTGACTCGCACTTTGCGAGCTCCACCCAATCCCACTTCGTCACGCCTATACGAGCCTCAGTATCTGAGACTGCGCTTCGACTCCTGTCTTGCAAAGCCGAAGCCTTCGACATCGTGGCCGTGACCTTTGATTCCTCTCGCCATGGTGGAACGCTCCGGGCGGCGGTCTGACGTTGGCGTTGGCGTTGGCGTTGGCCTGGGCGCGCTCGTCGCGGGACTCGTTGCACTCAGCCTCCTCGCGACCCACGCCAGCGCTACTAGTGAGTGCTGGATGGCTGCCGCCGCGCGCCCACCACTGGCATGGAAAAGACATGAGCACGGAAAAGACATGAGCACGGAAAAGACATGAGCATGGAAAAGACATGAGCATGGAAAAGAAATGAGCACGGAAAAGACATGACAGGCTACTGGTGCCCACTCTTGCTTCTCGCCCTCTTGTCTCCTCGCCCTCTTGCTCCTCGCCCTCTTTAGGCATGCTGCCAACTCAATTGCCCCCAACAGGCTTTAGTTGTGGAGTCGGGACCTGTTATGGGGAGGGTTCCTACTGCCTTTGGTATGGTACCAAAACCTTCGGGTGCGGGTGCAGCAATGGTTTTGCCTTGGCCGGATATACCTGCTACAGAGGTGAGTGTAAATGAACAGCGTTTGCATCACGCTCATAAGCAATAACTTTCCTACTTTATCTCAACAACACATGATTTCCTTTGTAGCAGTGTGGGTGGGTGCTGGACGGTGGGTTAGTGCACGCATTGGGTTAATCAAAGTCGTGCATTTCACTCCCACAATCATTTCGCAATCAAAGCCCTTCTTTGCCTCGAACCACAACAATTTCCCATGCAGCTGAGTGTTTGACTTATATGGACTGCGGTGGAGATCCCTACAGTTATTGCTCTATCGAAGACGATAACACTCGCCGCTGCACGTGCTTCGATGATGCTAATGGTCACACCATGTACTACAACGCAACAACCAAGACATGCCATGGTGAGTGCTGGCATGTGAGTGATCCCTACAGTGCTGCATGCACTATCGCAGACGATAACACTCGCCACTGCACGTGCTTTGATGATGCTAATGGTCACTCCATGCACTACACCGCATTCCCCTGCAGACGCGTGTTATCAAGTGGATTGCGGCAGCAGTGCTTCCTGCTCTTTGGCCGATGGCACTCCCAAGTGCTCGTGCAAAGCTACTGGTTACACCTTCAATGGAGCAGACAAGACTTGCCATGGTAAGTGGAAGTGTGGGTGGGTTCTGGAGTGTGGGTGGGTGCTAGAGTGTGGGTGGGTGCTGGAGTGTGGGTGGGTGCTGGAGTGTGGGTGGGTGCTGGAGTGTGGGTAGGTGTTGGATATGGGTATGTTCTGAAGTGTGAGTTTGTTCTCACGATTAGGTAAAATCGTCCATTTCACATCTCCGGGCCCCTATTTCACCTTAAAATGATCATGCATTCCCCTGCAGACGCGTGTTATCAAGTGAATTGCGGCAGAAGTGCTTCCTGCTCTTTGGTCGATGGCACTCCCAAGTGCTCGTGCAAAGCTACTGGTTACACCTTCAATGAAGCAGACAAGACTTGCCATGGTGAGTGGAAGTGTGGGTGGGTTCTGGAGTGTGGGTTGGGTGCTGGAGTGTGGGTGGGTGTTGGATATGGGTGTGTTTTGAAGTGTGAGTTTGTCCTCATGATTAATAAAATCGTCCATTTCACATCTCCGGTCCCCTATTTCACCTAAAACCATCATGCACTCCCGTGCAGACGCGTGTTATCAAGTGGATTGCGGCAGCAGTGCTTCCTGCTCTTTGGCCGATGGCACTCCCAAGTGCTCGTGAAAAGCTACTGGTTACACCTTCAAGGAAGCAGACAAGACTTGCCATGGTGAGTGGAAGTGTGGGTGGGTTCTGGAGTGTGGGTTGGGTGCTGGGGTGTGGGTGGGTGTTGGATATGGGTGTGTTTTGAAGTAAAAGTTTGTTCTTACAATTAGTTAAAATCGTCCATTTCACATCTCCGTTCCCCTATTTCACCTAAAACCATCATGCACTCCCGTGCAGACGCGTGTTATCAAGTGGATTGCGGCAGCAGTGCTTCCTGGTCTTTGGCCGATGGCACTCCCAAGTGCTCGTGCAAAGCTACTGGTTACACCTTCAATGAAGCAGACAAGACTTGCCATGGTGAGTGGAAGTGTGGGTGGGTTCTGGAGTGTGGGTTGGGTGCTGGGGTGTGGGTGGGTGGTGGATATGGGTGTGTTTTGAAGTGTGAGTTTGTTCTTACAATTAGTTAAAATCGTCCGTTTCACATCTCCGTTCCTGTATTTCACCTTGAAACCATCATGACTTTCCCTGCAGACGCGTGTTATCAAGTGGATTGCGGCAGCAGTGCTTCCTGCTCTTTGGCCGATGGCACTCCCAAGTGCTCGTGCAATGCTACTGGTTACACCTTTAACGAAGCAGACAAGACTTGCAATGGTGAGTGGAAGTGTGGGTGGGTTCTGGAGTGTGGGTTGGGTGCTGGAGTGTGGGTGGGTGTTGGATATGGGTGTGTTTTGAAGTGTGAGTTTGTTCTTACAATTAGTTAAAATCGTCCATTTTACATCTCCGATCCCCTATTTCACCTTGAAACCATCATGCATTCCCCTGCAGACGCGTGTTATCAAGTGGATTGCGGCAGCAGTGCTTCCTGCTCTTTGGCCAATGGCACTCCCAAGTGCTTGTGCAAAGCTACAGGCGACACCTTTAACGAAGCAGACAAGACTTGCAATGGTGAGTGTGAGTGTGGGTTGGGTGCTGGGACGTGGGTGTGTGCTGAGTTGTATCATCCATTTCACTTCTCCTTTCCCCTATATCATCTTGAAACCATAATGAACTCCCCTGCAGATGCGTGTTATCAAGTGGATTGCGGGAAAAGTGCTTCCTGCTCTGTGACAGCCGCTGACACTCCCAAGTGCTCGTGCAATGCTATTGGTCACACCTACAACGAAGCAGACAAGACTTGCAATGGTGAGTAGAAGTGTGGGAGAGTGCTGGAATGTGGGTGGGTGCTGGGTACGGGAGTGTGCTGAAGTGTATTGTCCATTTTGTTGGCCCAGCCTGCTACCGACTGGGTTAGAAGGGCACGTTTTTATGATGGGTAGCATACCAATTACCCCCAGTCCGCGCCTGTAGCCCTCCCACACTCAACAGGGAACGATCCTAGTGCCCCATCATCACATTTCACATCTCCGTTCCCCCATTTCGCCTTGAAACCATCTTGAATTCCCTTGCAGACGCGTGTTATCAAGTGGATTGCGGGAAAAGTGCTTCCTGCTCTGTGACAGCCGCTGACACTCCCAAGTGCTCGTGCAATGCTATTGGTCACACCTACAACGAAGCAGACAAGACTTGCAATGGTGAGTAGAACTGTGGGAGAGTGCTGGAATGTGGGTGGGTGCTGGGTACGGGAGTGTGCTGAAGTGTATTGTCCATTTTGTTGGCCCATCCTGCTACCGACTGGTTTAGAAGGGCACGTTTTTATGATGGGTAGCATACCCATTACCCCCAGGCCGCGCCTGTAGCCCTCCCACACTCAATAGGGAACGATCCTAGTGCCCCATCATCACATTTCACATCTCCGTTCCCCCATTTCGCCTTGAAACCATCTTGAATTCCCTTGCAGATGCGTGTTATCAAGTGGATTGCGGAAAAAGTGCTTCCTGCTCTGTTACAGCCGCTGACACTCCCAAGTGCTCCTGCAATGCTATTGGTCACACCTACAACGAAGCAGACAAGACTTGCAATGGTGAGTGGATGTGTGGGAGGGTGTCGGAGTGTGGGTTAACCAATTTTTTCCCTTTAAG